CTTTCAAAGCATCAGCTCCCGCTACTCTTGGAGGTTTAGGTCGGACTATTTTTATTAATGAAATTATGATTAAAATTGTATGAAAAATTCGAAGAAAAAAAGTTGCACTTTTAATTAATTAGGAAATCCAGGTCTTATCTGCAGTAAGGCAATGTTTTTAAGAGAACAAATCAAAACTGGACCGAGCTCATCAGAAAGGAACCAACCCACAATCTCGAAAAAATTGAGTCGAGAATGAGTTTCACCAGCCGCAAATTTTCTTCTGCCATAAACTGAAAGTCTAAAAACAAAAATTTTAGGGGGAAAAGGGGGTTCATTTTTTACATTGAGCGTAATGCAGGAATAAAAATTCAAACCTCTTTTTCTCAGTTTCAACTTAATGTGGGTTGGTTCCTTTCTGATGAACTCGGTCCAATTATTCCTTGAAGTTTTCACAGAATGAATTTTTCTCGCACAGAGCGGAAAAATCTAGGAGGTTTTAAAGAAATGACGTTGAGTCGTTGTCCATTATAAAAATCAAGTATAACAGGAAGTCTGCAACATCGCAAACCGAGATACGCGGTTTGGGAGTTTCACCATCGGCTTCGACATGCGACGAGCACTCTACGAATTTCTTTCCGGCGCCTAGATACAACTATTCGAACTCCACGGATGTCCGTGTTGCATACGCACAGCTGTGAAGGCGTTTAAGCTTTTCAAGCACTCATCGCCTCACCTGCAGCGCGGCGCGGTGTAGCTCTTCGGTGGGCTGTATGCAAGGATCCACATTTATGGAACCGCTTCATTTCTTCCTGGGCATGAACCAACTTAAAATGTCCAAAACACTTGTAAATTTTACTTATATTAAGTTAGGAGTTACATTTTAAAAAATTTCGTGTGATTAATTTAACTATTAAAATTTTGCTTACTATTCCGTATTAAAATATAAACATTAATATATAAATAAACTATGATACTTTGCGTGTTCATTAATATGCTTTTATTCAATTAAGTTATGTTAAAAATAATCATTATTAAGCTCTATTATTATCATGTATTTATACTCCTCTGTTCATGTTGCACACGTACAGTGTTGAAGGCGTTTTGACTCATTAGACTCTCCAAACAACTCGAAATGGGGATTATATTACATTCTATTTCCCATTCTACATTTTATTTTTTCTTCGTTCATACGACTAAAAACTTCACTCAGAAGCAAATGGTTGCATACAGTCATAGGGGCGTAGGGTGTGAGTATCTTTTGTGCTTCAGTTTTGATATCGCGGTGTGCTGAGCCTGAACAATCGACAATCGTAGAGCTTAATAATGCTTTGTTTTAATAGTTTAATTTCATTCGATCATAATAATGATGACATTTAGATTATCTTTGAGATTTTAAAACACAGACTATTGTAGTTTTAATTAAAACTCTACACATTCAATGTAGAAGTAAATAAAACTTTAATACTTAGGTAACTAAGTAAATTGATCACACAGAACTTTTTAAAATGTAGTTTCTAACTTTGTATAAGTAAACTTTACTGAAGCTCTGGACACTCTAAGCTGGTTTGTGCCTACGAAGAATTGAAAGCTCCCTGAAATTGTGGAGCCTCGCAGTGTCGCAGTACAGCCCGCCGCGCGCCGCAGTGCCGCGCCATGGGTGAAGCGATGAGTGCCTGGAAAGTTAAAACGCCTTCACATCTGAGCGTATGCAACACGGACATCCGTAGAGTTCGAATAGTTGTATCCAGGCGTTGTAATGAAATACGTGTAGTGTTCGTCGCAGGCGTTATTAACCAAGAGAGCTTCGTTTATTTTTCTCGCATCTTAACTTAATTTCAGCGATGCATATGTGTATGTGTGCCAATGAATTAAACGTTTATTGATTTTAATCGCGCCATTGTTAATAACCTCAAAAAGAAAACCTGTCAAAAATCTTACACCCTGAAACAGTCGGAGAAAGTGGATTTTTCGGTATTTGAGGATTTTCATACGTAAACGGATGATGAAAAATCCTGCTGAAAATGATGATGAAAATCGTATCGCTCTTTACGAAATTTTCGTATAGAGCGAGAAAACTTCGTCCGCATAAGTTTTCAGGTATTGACTCGTAACATCGTTGTCAACATGCAGCAAAAAACCTACTAAAAAGTAGGCACTTTTCGGTAAATTTTACGTTTTTTTGGATTTTTTTTCTTTTTTTTTTACAATGAGAGTAATGAAAATGTGGTCAACATTATTTTACTTTTGGGGGAGGGAAAGGGAGTAGGGGGGACAAGTTCACATGTTTTCACCTACTTTAATTATTGCCGGGATTGTCAATTAGTAAAGCCCATAAACGCTTTCAACGTGACGTACATTTTTTTTAAAGAGCGGTCGCATCTCATTGTACGAATTTTACTATTTTCCATCAAAGAATAAGCAGATTTTGCATTATCAAGAGTGTTTTATGTTCGAGCAAAGCACCAACAAGAAACGAATTTGCTCGTACTGATTTTTCCTAGGAAGTTTCAGACGGACTTAAGTGTTATCGGTACTAATTTTCTTCCTTAAGGGTAAGGAGCAAAGTCTGACAATGAGGCTGAACTTTATCTTCACTCATCCAAATTATATGTATGTAAAATACCTACTGCACATGTTTACACGTTGGACCAGAATCCGTAGGATAGAAGATCATCCGTTTCTATTTCATTGTTTTGCAATTCAAAATCTATGAGTAAAATTCGGAATAGGTATACTGCGCTTTCTAAAAATCTTTATGGCGCCCAGACGAACCAATCCAACGTACTATGAATGCTGAGCGGAATCTACTCTTTTTACGAAGTGATTTGCGCTTTATTATATATATTATTTATTGTGGAGTGTAACGTGCTCTTTTGGAGCAAATTTCACTTTATTTTTATGACTCAGGTTTTTCGGACGCCACAAAGACACCGGAGTGAATTACTTTCCGCGTCCCTCTTCGATATTTCTAATTATGTTCAACTTTTTTAACACGAAATTCTATGCATAAAAGAGAAGGAATTAGTAATATTCTTTTCTCATCTCTCATTCCTCCTACCTTGTGTGAGAGAAACAGGGTGTTTTAACGATAAAAAAGTAATCTAACGCCCGGATGGTTCATTTCATGATTGGCATCACAAGTGTTAGTAAAATTGCTTCATGAGGAATTGAAGGCGCGCTGTCTGCCACGGGCAGATCTCAGCATGTGGATTCTACTAATCTACGCCTCGGCTTCAGTCCTGGCCAACTCACGAATTAGAAGTTCATTGTTCTCGTAATTATTGCGAATTTGTTTTCTCTTAACTAATCAGCGATGTCGACGTATTTTGAAGGCTCGTTAAACGTGCAGATTATAGAGACATGGGTTTAAAACTCACATTGACAGTACTGGGCTTGGTAATACAATGAAAAATTTCCCGCATTTTTCGAGAACAGCGGACGATTAACCTCTCTCATGCTTTGTTTTTTGAAAGAAAAGGAGAGAGCATCATAAATACTTTAAACTCTCTATGAGTCTAGGCTCACTCAAGCACGTGAACTTTCATAACACTTACCTAATTTTAACGCAAAAGCCATGCTTTTCCATGTAATACCTATAATTCACAATAGAGAGATATCAAAATGCTATCAGGTTGATCCAAATGTATGCAAGTTGAATGGGCAGTACTTTTCGCCGCATTTCGGAATCCCGCCGTGATAAGGAAAAACTGCGTATAAAAACTCGGGCGTTTCCACATTTTTCCTGATAAAACTGAAAAGTCCTTGAAAACTTATGAGTCTGCATTTTGACTTTTTTTTCTCTGAATTTTGATTTTACAATATAATCCAGTGTGTCTAAGAATTTGAAGGAAAAACACACCCAGTGACTTTCCTCACAAACTTACAATTAATTTGTTAATCGAAGCGAATTCTGCAACACTCGAATGCTTGTATGCACGTCGCATACGCAAGGTACATACGTATGTGCCTTAGCATGGCAGGATTAGGAGCCACAATTTTTGGCTCATCCATGAAAGCACTTATCTGCAGACGAAAATCTTACGACTTATATATGTATTGTTTCTAAAGTGAACTAGAGATCCACTTCCAGAACATTTTCAAAAAAAAACTTTAAATTAAAGAAAAATCTCATTTTGATCCAAAGAACACGTTCCTGCAGTTTGACGGTTTAACCACGAGACTGTCGCATTTATAAATAGATCGGTTGATGGTACTAAACTTCGGTTCACATTGAACGCCGCACGTTTCCGGTTCAAGTAACCAAAGATCATATGAACCGAAGTTTGATTTCTGTGACCGAAAACTTTAGTTACCAGGACCGAAAAAAAATCCATGTTCAAAACCAATCAAACTTTTTTCTCCGTGTATTGCGCAACGTCCCACCCACCCCCGGAAACCTTCCAGATCCGAGCGGAACCCCGCGTTTGTACCACCTATATTTAGTTAAAATAATAGTTTCGAATGACATTCTCAAGTTTTTAATCAATAAAGGGCCCGGGCAAGCACGGAACAGGTGCATCTCCGCCAAATGGTGTCCCGAAAGGGATGATTTCCTGGAATTTCGCGGCGAAATGAGTGTTTTGTTGCGAGCCATAGCAACGCCGGTCAGGTGTGTTTGTGCCGCGATGTGGCGGGCTCTAACCCTGACTGCCGATCCATGCACGGCACTCAGTAGCTTCGGCTCCGGGACTCCACTCGCATGCCATTGTCCACGAATCCCCCGACCAATGTTTATCTAACCTCCTCCGTAAGCGCCCTTCTCATTCCAGTGCGCGATGTGACCTTTCCAAAAGGCACCCGGGAGCTTTTCCAAGCTCAAACTTTCGTTGCACAATCGGAGCAATATTAGCCTCCTCAACTGGATCCTAATCATGAGATAATTTGAACACTTACCTACTTTACCAAATGTGCGTTTATGGTACCTGTGTGAAGTGACGCAATTTAAGTGGGGATCGTAAGGAAATCAAAGAGCTGAAACCAACACGAGCTACCTAGCACGTTCTTTCGGTAAGTTTTCTCAATTGTTGAGTAAGGAACGTGTTTAGCCGCTCCTCAAACTGTTTCTTTTCATAAGGAGAATTTATATGGATTTCATTGTAACCTAGCGAGGTTTAAAGGAGGCCTCTAAAACAGGACAATTTTTCGGGGCCTGGAGTAAAATTTGAGCGTAAAGTCTGAGGGATGGATTAAAATGATGTGTGATCACAAAAATTACGAAGTGCAGAAGATAAACTAATGAGGAATTTGAAAATATTAAGGTAGCTTCGGAAAAAACAAAGGCAGGCCGTGAACATCATTTAATATTTTCCCTTGTATTTGGTATTTTTCGCAGTGATGGATCATTGCACTGCCTCGTGAGGATCTATTTTCCGAGTTACCTATATTCTTAAATTCTACTGCAAGTATTGGAAAATTGTCTTTTTTATGACGCTATGTCGGAAGTCCTCTTGAATTTATCTTAATTACGAATACAGTGTAAGGCATATGACATGTTTCCCCAGGAGACAGCGACTATGAACGCGGTCCAAAGTGAAATAATTTTCCGGAGTGACTCGGTGGCAAGTTAGGCCAGAGTTCTGATGTACGCATTTGATTTGATTGTGTTCCGATACTGATTTGAATGGATCTAATCAGAAAGAAGACACTTATATCAACCCTAGCATGTCAGACTTGGGTCCTCCAGACTGCGAACTTAGTATAAGTAGATAGAATTAAATATTCGGGTTAAACCTACATGGAGAGTCATAAGAAAGCACATCTATGCAAAAGCTTAGGACTTACATGGCATATATCAGATGGTGGTGCATTATGAATCATAAGAAAGAGATAAGAAGAAGTATAGGAACAGACGAAAAAGAGAATGAAGAAGGGGGAGCAGAGGGACACAAATACGAAAAAAAGTATACTTCTCTTCTCCTACCTATTTTTTTCCCTTTACCACGTCGTTTTCATCTGTTCTGAAAGAAGAAGTCCAGAGGGATTGAACTTCGATTAATAATGGGCAACGAACTTTTTCCGTCTAGGTAATCCAAGTTCGGTGTCTGTACCCGAAAAATTCGGTCACCTAAATCGGAAAACTTCGGTTCTCAATATGAACCGACCTTTTTTCTCCATGATTCTTTCTCTTCCGCATGACATGACACTCTTTCCTCTTCTTTCTGACATGAAGATACTTTTCTCGAAGATACATAAGGTATTTTTGAGAGATCCATTTTTCTCTTTCGATGCGAAAATCAACAACAACGGTTCCTTCTTTTTGGTCCGCGCGAATGACTGCGCAGAATAATGCATTTTATTTACTGAGGTTGGCAAAACTGTGAAAGGTTTTGATGAATTGACACATTATTTATACACCTCAAAATAACAGCTGATTCGTAAATTTTGCACGTGGGTGGATGGTTTTTAAATACGTATATGCATAGTGATGTAATTTTTTTATTGTGACCACCAAAAAATTCGTTTTTATTTACGTGATTCTTTTAGTTACCTACTTGTGCGGTCAAGTAACTATCTTACTCGCCCTTAAAACTAAATGTTAATTCTTTAATCGATACCCTCAAAAGTATTTATAATGAGTAGTGTTGCCAAGGTAATGGGTTTGGTCGCTCACAATGAGAGAAAAACTAACGGAAAAAACTAACCTAGCATAAAGGACAAGAAGTCGTTGAATCAAAATCTCCCAGACATGCCCCTCAACCGGTACGGAAACGGATGGTGCTAGTTCGAAAGTGAAAAACGCGTCCTCGAAGAACCTAAGATCGCGTCTGTCCTCGATTTTGGCCGTGTCCTATGATTTTAACGCTCTGAAGCGCATCAACGACAAAGTGAGGACCTCCATCACCAAGATGACGTCAGTCTCGGCGCACCGCGACATGAAGTACCTCTCGAAGAGGGGCACCCAGAGCGACGTCATGTCGACCAAAGACCCGAAGCTGGACGACATCGAGAGTCTCTACGACCTCCTCCGCGACTCGGACAACCTCCTGAGTTTCACCAAGTTCTTCGGGTTCCTCAGATCCTCGGGCATCATCGTGGAGAGGGATGCCCGTTTCCGAGACTTACTCACGAACCTGAAAGTCCTAGTCGGGAGCCAGCAGGACTTCAACTTGGACCTGGTGTCCTTCCAGAACCTCCTGCCGGCCAAGAACGTGGAGTTGATCGCTCGTGCGGCTCTCAACCAGTTGATCGTGCCTAACTTCGAGGAATTCAAGCAGCAGATCGAAGCCATCTACCTGGCCTGCAAGGACAGCAACCGCGGGAAAGTGGCCGACTATATTCCGCAGCTGGCCAAGATGAACGGCGACTACTGGGGGGTGAGCGTCTGCTCTATCGACGGGCAGCGTCACTCCTTCGGCGACTCCTCCATCCCGTTCACCCTCCAATCCTGCTCGAAGCCCTTCATCTACGGCCTGGCCCTCGACCGTCTCGGCCCCGAGGTCGTGCACCGCTACGTCGGCTTCGAGCCGAGCGGCCGCATCTTCAACAAACTCCTCCTCGGCGAGAACAACCTCCCGCACAACCCCATGATGAACTCCGGCGCCATCATGGTCTGCTCCCTCCTCCAGTCCCTCACCTACCAGAACCTCTCCCTCGCCGAGAAGTTCGACCTCATGCTCAACTACTTCCGCTCCCTCTCCGGACTGGAGTACCTCGAGTTCTGCAACTCCGTCTACATGTCCGAGTTCGAGACCGGCGACCGGAACTTCGCCCTGGCCCACTACATGAAGGACAACAAGTGCTACCCGGAGAACTCCGACATGAAGACCTCGCTTAACCTCTACTTCCAAGTGTGCTCTTTGGAGGTGACAGCCGAGAGCGGGGCAGTCATGGCCGCCACCCTCGCCAACGCCGGGGAGTGTCCCATCACGGGCGAGCAGGTCCTCAAGCCGGAGTCTGTGCGTGATGTCTTGTCCGTCATGCAGTCCAGCGGCATGTACGACTACTCCGGGCGTTTCTCCTTCAGAGTCGGGCTGCCCGCCAAGTCGGGGGTCGGGGGTGGTGTCCTCTTGGTTATACCCGGGGTCATGGGCATCTGCACGTTTTCACCCCTCCTCGAGGAACAAGGTAACAGCGCCAAAGGTCTGGACTTCGCCAAGCTCCTGGTGAAGAAATTCGTTTTCCATCCGTATGACCACATTCGGCTCCCGTCGAGTAGGAAGACGCCCCGGCAGAGGTCGCTGGTGACGCAGTGCTGCGGTGCGTGCCAGGTGCTCTACCCGGCCGCAAGCGGTGATCTCCCGTTGCTCAAGCAGCTCTTCTCCAAAGGCTACGACCTCAACGTCGAGGACTACGAGTCCAGGACGGCCATGCACTTGGCGGCGTCGCACGGGCACTTCAGTGTTGTCAAGTTTCTGTTGAAGCACTTCTACGAGATGTCGTTGAAGCAGGACAGGAATGGGCGTTACCCTATCGACGAGGCCCGGCTCTGGAAGCATAAAATGGTGGAGGATCTTCTGGCCAATTATAAACCTAGTAAAGTGGCAGCAGCGACCAAGTGAAGAGGAGTGCAACGTCGGCAAGTGGTAGACATCAGTGAAAGGCTTTCGACGTTTTAAATTTTTAGTTATCATCTTTTAAAGTTTGCGTCGGTTTGTAAATAAAGTTGTGTTTGTCTCAGTCAAAAAAGTTTAAATCAATTTTCCTAGGATATCTTACTGTCCTGAGGGTTCAGTATTTAAAGGGACCTTAAAAATGTAAGATACTCTTAGCAACTCGAAATGACTAACTCAGAGAATTCCAAAACGTTATGAACTTAATGACAAAGGCAAATGTAAGTGCCGAGGAAATAAACCAAGTAAAATTAAGTAAAAACAGAAGGAAACATGTTTGAAGATTTCAACCATAGAGATCAATGTAGAAAGTGAATTCCAGGCCCGCCTATGGGGTACTAAAAGTTTATTCCGGAAATTCAATATTTATTGGAAATTGTTATATTAGGCAAGCTTTACATAACTTATAACTAATATTTCTATGGAAAAATAAGACTCTTTCCCACTAAACTTACAAGGGGAGTCTACGAAGTGACATCCTGGGATTGGGTTCATTTTGCTTGTACATGAAGAAGAGACAAATCTAAGGTTGACGTATTTTTTTTTAGCCGCCACCTCCCAACCGTTCTCGAGATATCGATTTTTAAAGTTACGATTTTTGCACGTTTCCGCGCGGAGTTCCGGCGAGTCAACTGAGCGCCGGCAAGCTGCACGAAGCGCGTTTCTTATCAGCGCTGCAGACCGGCCGACGTTATCAACTGTTCCGTGGCCGAGTGGTAGAGTGTTCGCCTACCGTTCCATCGATCGCGGGTTCGAGTCCCTCTTCGTACCATAGCTTTTTGGGGTCCGCTGCAATGCATTTTTACAAGTTTCCTTTATTTTTATCACACACCAAGGGGTCCGCCCCCTGGCCGCTACGCGGCACAAACCCCGGGGCGAAAAGGCCCGCTTCGCGGCAAGCGAAATCATCGAAATCGACCGTTGCCGGTTGCAAATTCAGAGTAAGGAAAAAGTCATTAAGAATATTGTGTGGTGGGAAATTTTTATTTGAAACATCATTTTATCATTCAATTCAAATTATTTACCCAGTAACCGTCAACGGTTGATTTCTATGATTTCGCTCGCCGCGATGTGGGCCTTTTCGCCCCGAGGGTTGTGCCGCGTAGCGGCCAGGGGGCGGACCCCTTGGTGTGTGATAAAAATAAAGGAAACTTGTAAAAACGCATTGCGGCGGACCCCAAAAGCTACGATACGAAGTGGGACTCGAACCCGCGATCGACGGGACGGTAGGCGAACACTCTACCACTCGGCCACGGAACAGTTGATAACATCGGCCGGTCTGCAGCGCTGATAAGAAACGCGCTTCGTGCAGCTTGCCGGCGCTCTGTTGACTCGCCGGAACTCCGCGCGGAAACGTGCAAAAATCGTAACTTTAAAAATCGATATCTCAAGAACGGTTGGGAGGTGGCGGCTAAAAAAAAATACGTCAACCTTAGATTTGTCTCTTCTTCATGTACAAGCAAAATGAACCCAATCCCAGGATGTCACTTCGTAGACTCCCCTTGTTAATCATAAGAAGGAATGATCCAACAACAGCGCTTTTTTTAGTAGCTTGATAGCATAAGCGCAAAGAAGCATTTATAAGCATTAAAATATTTTCTTCTTTTTTCCTCACTCTGCATACTGTAATACGGAAATTTAAGGGCATATGTCGTCTTTTCCCCGGACGAAGGAACGAAACTTCATTACAAGGTTGCAAAATAGATTCAATTGACAACATTGAAAGAAAAGTGCAATTTTTTACAAAAATATAACCGTGCAATTTCCGAAATTAGGCTAATTTTTGCGTGTAATTAGAGGAATAGTCAGTGAAATTTTCAGTTACAAACGCACGAAAGTTACATTTTATATAACTATAATTAGTCTGTGGAAATTTTGCGGTACTGAAATATAGTTACGTTCTATCGTCTTGAAAATTATGAGGTCAAACATCATTGAGGGGCAACTGATACTCAATGCGCTCAAAGTATAGGGGGGCTCCCTGACCCCTTTATGGCTACGCCCATGCGTCACTCTGAGAATATTTTGGCTGGTGGCATTCTCGGAAGTCAGAACTAATTCCCATAATTCAAATTCATAAAAAATAAGCAATCTTAGGCGCGGCACCCTGCCTAAAATAATAGACATCGATTGTTTTACATTCGTTTAAAAGGTCAAAATCCAGCGTTGTCAAAAAGTAGAGAAAAAAATCAAGACTCGATGAATGGCGTTAATCAGAGCCTTTTTTATATTGAGAACAATATTTAAATAGTACCTGCGGCCAGAAACAGCACACCACAATAACGTGTCGGTTTAATGAAGCTTTGCTTTCAGGAATCAGTGGATTATTCGATCGATTAGCATCGAGGGAGGGTTGCTGAATAATGTAGTAGTTTTCGCCCGTTATAGAGCTCGGTGTTGGTTCAATTAACCTATTCTACTCTCCAATACCTCGGCAACTCTCCAGGGGGCATTCCGCCGACCTTAACCCTAATAAGACCATAAACTGGGCCGCCCATTTCCTCAAACAGGTTCATATGACTTGTCCGGCAAATGGTCACTTTTTCGTCGTTGACCTGATGACCCACGTTGAGTTTAAAACGAGACTTTTCGCGTGAGGCTTCCGTTAGCCGTTACCCAATCAAATGCTCAGATTTAACAAAACTCAACTAACAGTACGTTTATGAGGAGTGTATAACCATAACCATTTCTGATTGGCTAACAGTAAGTCATCTTGGGCCATGACCGGATTTACCTACCTACTTGCCGCCCACGGGCCGCCTGTATTTTGCCACCTTCTTCTCATTCATTTTGAAACATCAATAAAAACCATCAAGTGAACGTGCCGGAGGGAGGAGGGTGCATAAGACGCGTTCACTCGTGTTGGACACATTTTTTGCGTAAGCCCTGTCAACGCTACTAACAAACGTTCACGGAACTTCGCGCGAAAGTTCAGTTCCGTAAACCTATCTCTGTGTGGAAAAGGCCTTTTGTTTGTAGGAAATGCACTAAAAAATTAAGAAAGAACAAACATAAATGTGGTTTAATAATTTTAACTTCCGCCGCCCTGCCGCGCTGACCACACTGCGTTTGGCGCAATGCGTGAAGTATTCATGTAGTCTTGTAGGCACTGTGCGTTTCACGCCGCGCCGACCGCTGTTGACCGTACTGTGTTTGATGCAATGCGTGAAGTATTCACGCAGTCTCGTAGGCGCTAATATGTGTTACATGCCGACCGCCGCGACGAGGGCTTCTCCTTTTCATCTCAGGTCCTCGTCATCATTTCTCTTTGCGCCGCGCCGCCCCAGGCCAAATTACGTGTTTGGTTTCTCTCTTAACTCAACTAACTAAAGGTGCGCAGTCTTTTGTATCACCGAAATACGACAAAATTAGAAATTAATGAACTCTCAGGAAATGAGAGATTTTGTCACCTTTTCTTGTTAGTAATTTTTTTCTGAATCCGATTTTCTTGTACCTGAATTTAAAAAAATTGCAAAATTTGCCGCCCCCTAATTTTGCCGCCATGGGCCGAGGCTCATGTGGCTACCCTCTTAATCCGGCCCTGTCTTGGGCCTTATGGAGCGTATAGGATCAACATAAAAAATTAAGAAGGTTGCATACAGATAATTCAAAAGTGCAGTCACTGATGCTATATTTGCTTGTGTTGCTGTGAACTTCAATTAATCTCGTCGGTAGCATGTGTTATTATGTATTTTATGCCCCCCCCCCTTTAAAATCATAGCTGAACTGCGGGCTGATTATTGAAATTGATAGACAAAGCGAAAGACAAAGAAGACAAAATGGATATGGAGGGATCCTATTGGTGGAAGTGTGTGGTTAGAATGGACAAAAAAGGTGTAAGTAACAGTCTAATTATCGGCGAGAGACCCCAAATAGTTAGTCCATAATTTTCTCCCGAAGTTTATAGGAATACCACCCATTTTAACCAGGAGGATCTCTCCATACTCTGAATGTCTTTTTGTCTACAGCTTTGTTTATAAATTTCAACGATCAGTCTGCTGTTGCAGTTTTTTTATGAAAAAGTAGCAGGCAACTGAAATCTGATGAAAAATGCTAAATACAAGCTAACTATAAAGTCATCCATTTGAAAAGGAGGGCTGTTCGCAACCGAAATGTAAAGCGGGGGGAGAGGCGCCCCTTGAAAGTCCTCCTCACAGCCGTGCGAGGAGGGTATCATAATTTGTCGTTTTCCAAAAGAACGAGGTTACTACGTGTATTTCATCGCAGGAAAATTTTCACTCGCAAATTGTACTTTTACCAGTAAATTGTTGAATATATCTATAAGAAAAGTTCACCAATTATCCCTCCAATTACTTGGAGACTAAATTTTTGCTGGATCAATAGAAATTTCAATAAATATTTCGCGGACAAGAATTCTTTTTGAGTCAACTGGGAATTCCCTTGTTTCAAACGGTATTTTTGCTATTTCAAAGAGATCCTCCGTCAATTTAAAGATGTTTCCGGTAACCTCATTACAGATTCTTGTCCGGGAATTAGTAGTTGGAAAATATTCAGAGTATACGTTGAAGTCATCGCAATTTTTGGCAGAAATCGTGCAAACGTTTTTTAAAAAAAATTAATTTGTTTGCGTCAATTTTCCAACCTTGCAACCAATTCAAAACAATGGTCCAATAAAGATGAAATCAAAACTTGGCTTGGCCGCCATTTTGAAACGGTGATTGACAGGGACTACCAATTTGTCCCTAAAATTATCTCTGTATTGTTCCATCTAGCGGAAGCTAAAATAGAGTTTGGGCTGTTCTCAATATGGTGAACAACCCTCTAAATCAAAACATTTTTACCCGAAAAGTGAAAAGGGTTTGACAGGTTGAGCGTTTCTTTCACTTAGCAAATTATGGATTCCTCTCATAGCCATAAATTCGGTCCCTAACCCCTTATAATTTAATTTCGTAACACACACACTAGTCTAAAGTTGGCTGCAGGTGCTTAACACAAAGCCATTAAACAACAGAAAAAAATAAGAAAAAAGTATGGATTCAGAGGAAACGAGTTGGAAGCCGAGCAAAGGGTACGTTGTCCCTCCTTAAGTACATACCTTTGGGTATTTACATGATAGTGATCCCCGGCGCATTACATGTTGTATGTGTTACAAATGAAGGCGCACGTTTGTTTTTATGGAATAAATGCGGTGGGATGGGAACACGTTCTCACACCGGGCCTTATTCTCCTTGCGAGAGCTTTCTAAAGCTGGTTGCATAGAGCACGGACGATGTGAAGTTGGCTGCGCGAATACAACCACACTGCTTATTCGCTGGTGCTATTGTTTAACTCCCTCGTTGCATTGCCATAAATCGTCTAATAGGTGGCAATCGATCGATATGACTCGATCGAAAAGTTAAGACGTGAACCGATTGACGTGATTCGTTCACGGGTTTGTCGATTGACTCATGGATCTATCGATTAAATTACTGGCTTGTCGATCGATTCACGGTTGTCGATCGAATCGGTGTCGATCAAATCACGTCGATCGGTTCACGTTTTAACTTTTCGATCGATTTATGTCGATCGAATCCATACCCTTTGCTTTGATCAATGCACCTGGTAACGCGGCTGTATCGCGCAGCTGACTTTGCGCTGTCAACTCTATGTAGCGCACTGCCTGTGGAAGCGTGGCTTTTTGAGCGAGTTAACTGCAACCTTGAGCTTGTGCGAGGAATTGCGTTTGGCGGCCACGTCCCACAAGTACAAGGGGACCTCATCCAGGCGCGCTTCCTTGATGGATGGTGGACCGATGGCCGACCGAAGGCAGAGCGGGGATCAAGACGGTATGGGGTGGGTATCGATTGGCGGAAAAAACGAGGTCCCTTGCTCACGGAGAATAATGAAGGGACCGCGAAATTACTTCAATTCCGTCCCGCCATGAATACATTACCCGGAGAGTGCATCAGCCACATCGAAACGCACCTGTCTGCAAATTGTCACTCAAAGTCACCACTTGTGGTCGCTCGGAGGTCTCGTGTCGGTTTGACCTTTTGATGTTGCCATGACCTTAGCGGAGAAGCGCAAGCTCGAGCTGGTTTCAGTAAATTTTTGGTGAAATGCTAATTTTAGATTAATTGTGAGAAATGGCGTGAGAATTATGGTGTTGTAAAAAAAAAGAAAGGAAGACATTAATATGCCCGTAGTTTGGAAGAGGGACCTTTCGGCTAACAAACATAAAATAAAACGTTTGAGTTTTTCCCTCGTTTTTTCTTTGTGCCAAAAGTTTTATAGTCCCATCAGATGTAAAATAAAATTTTACAAAGGGTTACATTGCCAGAATATGCCAACTAACCGGAGGAATTCGTTAGAAGGCACTTCTGGGTTTATTTAGATATGCAATACATGTTTTCCAATATATTTTAGGCGTTTTTTTGTCTTTATCATACACTACTTTTGTGAAAAATTGAAAAAGCCCGCTTTTGTGGAATATCTTGATTTTACAGAAAATTAGTCGAAACTCGGAAATCGAAAGAAGTCGTCTTTAGACTCAGCGTAAAAACATACCGAAAAATCAACCCTCTTATCCCCAGATCTTTTTTTTATTTTTATTTTTTTTTAATTAAATTACAAATCTGCGTTATTCACTTACGAATGTACATCGACAAATACTTTAACAAAAAGGCTAGTTGCATTTCCCTCTGAGACGGAAATAGGACGAGACAACTCCAGTTCGTGCCTCTCAAGCACGCGTTTTCTGTCGCGTGTCACCGGCAACGAAAAGTTATCACCGTCTTTTCCTTTCTGTATTTTGTAGCCGAAAAGTTGCCCGCAAGTTCCAATTGCAAGACCAACTTTCCCTATACACGTATTTCCCTCTACCAATGTTGGAAAAAAGACATGAAATGTGTCTCGTTTTTCGGCACCATGTGTAGATTGATTTAGTGGTGACGTCATTTGAAACACCATCATTAAATCGCTCCACCTTTAAAACACGCGGCGAAACGATGGATATCAAAACAAACCATTAGCTCTGGGCGGAACCATCAAATGTATATCGAATATCGAGAGATGCAATCACTAAATTAGTTTATTATCTTCCGTGGTCAGGAAAATCGCTGGAAAATTTTGACAGCCAGAGTCAGGGCCGGATTTACCTACTTGCCGCCCATGGACCGCCTGTATTTTGCCGCCCCCTTCTCATTCGTTTTGAAACATCAATAAAAAACATCAAGTGAACGTGCCGAAGGAGGAGGGGTGCATAAGACACGTTTACTCGTGTTGGACACAGTTTTTGCGAAAGCCCTGTCAACGCTACTAGCAAAAGTTCACGGAACTTGGCGCGAAAGTTAAGTTTCGTAAACCTATCTCTGTGTGGACAAGGCCTTCCTTTCATAAGGAATGAACGAAAATATTAAGAAAGAACAAACATAAATGAGGTTTAATAATTTTAACTTCCGCCGCCGGCCCGCCGCGCCGCGCTGACCGCACGGTGTTTGGCGCAATGCGTGAAATATTCACACAGTCTTGTAGGCGCTATGCGTTTCACGCCGCCCGCTGCTGACCGTAGCGGCCGCACTGTCTTTGACGCAATGCGTGAAGTATTCATGCAGTCTTGTAGGCGCTAAGATGTGTTACATGCTGACTGCCGCCGCGCCGGCTGCGTCGAGGGTTTCTCTATTTCATCTCAAGTTCTCGTCATCATTACTCTCTGCGCCGTTCCGTTCCAGACCAAATTCCGTGTTCGGTTTTTCTATTAGTCTTAACTCTACTAATTAAAGATGCTGTCTCTTGTATCACCGAAAAACGACAAAGTTAGAAATTACTATACTATCAGGAAAGAGATGAGTTTGTTTCCTTTTCTCATTGCCAATTTTTTTTTCTGATTCCGATTTTTTTTACACCCACATTTAAAAAAATTGCAAAATTTTCCGCCATGGGCCGCGGCCCATGTGGCCACCCCCTTAATCCGGTCCTGGCCAGAGTCGAAAATTGTGTGTCTTCGCTTGTAATGTTACACATTTCTACGCATCATTATTTATTTACTAGATTTTCTTAGGGAATTGAACCACAGGCCCTTTTGGAATTTTTCGAGAATTTCCGACGCTAATTTAAGAGTATTTATAGAAAATTTCATTACCATATTTTACTTAGCTTATTTCAACTGAAGTATAACATCATCGGATACTCTTATTTAATCTTTTTCAATGCCCATACTCATTTGCTGACTTTGCCATCGATTTGGATACTGCTGATTGTGAGACTCTTCAAATTGAAATGAATATTGTAAAAAAGTCACGAATACTTTGCCGTAAGTTTCTTGAGAATTCTGTTCGCAATTTAATTGAATTTGCTAAATACCAAGGTTTCGAGGAGAAAATCAGAGGTTATTCCTCGGGGGAAAATATTTTAGAAGGCACAATCGATCAAAATATAAATGTCCCTCGCATCGGCGCAGAAGACAATACACGAACGCTTTGATGCAACTATTCGAGCTCAAGGGATGTCCGTCTTGCATATACACAAAGCTGCAGGCGCTCTAGCTTTCTTGGCTCTAAATGGAATTGCGGAGGAGCCAGGCTTTTCGAGAGACAAGATGGGTCGTATGCATAGTCATTTCTAAGCCAACAGCCTCTTTCCGAGGGAAGGCTCTGAAGGCTTGATTAAGTGAGGTTTAAAGAAGTCTCGACCAAAGTATCATGTAAGAGACACTTTTTTGAGTTCGAGTGAAATTCATGTGTATATCCTTAGAATTGGATTCTCGAAAGGGATTACAATAATTTGCCGCTACAAATATTTAAAATACTAAAGAAATATGTATTAGGCCTTTTAAATTTCAAAGCAGGTCCGCGTCTACTTTAATACTTGTTTTTAGTTATGTTCATAAAACTTTTGATAAATGATTTTAAAACGATTCAAAGATGGCTTTTAAACGTCTAACATGTATTTTAATGAATTCTATATGCTTTGAAAATTTTTTGGTAATGATTAAAATGAATACCTTTGAAACGAAATAAAACCGTAAAAACAACTCGCCGTTCATGAACTTTATCAATATTTATACGTTTTTAACATACAGTGACCGTTAAATAATGATTCAATTCTTTGCAAGTATTACAAGAAAAATTCTATTGTTAATACCACTATAATCTCAGCATTTTTATCAATCCAGCGCAACTCTTTAATTTTGAAAAAGTAGGTAAATAACAATATAGGAACAAAATTTGTTACTGATCATTAATCACAGTGATTGCAGATGGTGGGAGTCCTCCTGTGTGTAGCGCGGGTTTCATTCCAGTCTTAAAATAATCTATTATTGTTTCAGAGGTGCTCACGAGCCGCCGTCACTGGACCGCAGCACGGAATCAAGCCCTAAGGATGGAGCTTTCGAAGGACTAGCAGTAGAAAATGAACCGGTACATCACACTGAACCAGTTGGGCGATGGGACTTACGGCTCCGTCGTCCTTGGCCAGAGAATCGACACGGGTGAAAAAGTAGCAATCAAAAGGTAAATATCTTAAAATTTCAACAGTATATAAATCATACGAATATACTCCCCCCCCCCTTTCCCATGTATGTAGCCTAAGCTACCATAATTAGTATAAACAAGATCAAGTCTATTATAATAGTCATACACTTTTTTTTTTGCATCAAAAGAAAAATCAGGAGAACACCTCATTAAATACGCGGAAGCATTCGTAAAATTGAAGAAAGAATCACTATTAATATGTTTCCATCTGAGTGATGAACCTTTCTTTAACAGCTCGACCAATACGATTAACTCTATCGGACGTAACGCTAACAAGTGGACGTATTTCTGTCAAACGGAACTATGTGCATTATGACGTGAGCCCTGATATGCATGCATTCTTATTGGTCTCAGGGCTCATGTCTTAATGCACATAGTTCCGTTTGATAGAAACACGTCCAATTGTTCCATTCTGAAAAATTATATAAAGTAGCAAAAAAGATTGGTCCAATATCCTCTTGTTGATTCTTTGATATTGTGCATTAGACCAAAGAGGGCTTTAGGTGATTAGTAAAATGAAAAACAAAGTTAAAATGTGCGGAACGAGGCTAAAAAAAAGCTGAGATTAGAAAACCTAAAGCGTCTTTGTCAATTACTCAGTCATTTTCAATTTCATCGACGCCATTGTTCCTCATTTTTTGGATCGTATTTTAGCTTACTTTTCATGCGATTGTACACACATATGTATGAAGGGCTGCTCGTAGTTCTTTTGGCCTTATGGACGTATGCGCACAGTGTCCTGCACAGTTTTTTGTTTTCCTTCTCCTGTCTTACCTTTTTTCTTAATTTTTTTTATTTTTTTTTTATTTTATTTTTCTTTTTAAAGTGAAAACTTCTTAAGAGAGTCTAAATAACAGTCCATATCTTAAAAAGCACAAATTATTTGTAAAACCTCATCTGCTCGGGTTGACGCGTTTTCTTAAAATGTTCATCTTCTTCTAAAAAAAAAACCCATGACCTCGACTGCTCATACCTTTCACTACTTATATACTCGGTGAATTTTACCCTCCAACAAATCAATAAGCAAAACAATAACCTCACGCTGCTTTCTCTAAGGTGTGTCTCTATGGAAACAAATTCAGTAGACCGTGACGACATGACAATTAGTCAGAATATGAGCCCTCAAAATAAAACTACCCCTGTGCTTCAGCCCGTTCCTCACACGAGCGCAGCAACTTAATTTTCAAAGCGGGGGCTGTTGCAACAGTGCTGTCACTTTGTGAGAATTTTGCTTCATTTTCCTGGTTAATCATGTCGTGAAATAGGTCTGCTGCACACAAAGACAATATCTGTTTTAAAGATCTTTCACTAAAACTCTAAGCGTTATACTTGGGTGAAGCAAAATTTCAATTCAGAGGTCAGTGCAATCCGCTCTAATGATGAGTGATGAGCAACTTGTTGGGCATAAAATTCGACAAATGATGACTGATGAAAGTCAGACTGGACACTTTGCAGACGAGTTTTTGGAAATTAGGTTTAGATTGCTAAATCAATTGCTCAACTCTTTGGTCATCAGTAATCGTGAGGCGAATTTGAGCGTTGACTTGTAGAGTAACTCATTTCGATGGCCCAAGTCCGAAACCATGTATCTCCATTGTATCGTTTCAACATTTCCGTTCCTATTTTATCACTTTCAAGAAACACAAGCCACATTTCAAGCTAGAAAATACAGCATATTCTCCTAAAAGAGAGGAAAAATCAAGAAATTTTTCAGTCGGCTGTATCTCGTGTGCAACCGCCTTATCAGAAATTAGATGCAAAAATCGGCAACAGTGGTTGGGAACCTACCCTAACGTGCACTTGTCGGCACCACCCTCGAATGACGCGGGCGGGCTATCACTCACAATGCACGACCAGTACATTTGCTTATTTGCATAGGTTGACTTATAGATGAGATCTAAAATTGGGTTCATTTGAGGAAACGTATTTCGTCACGTCGGGCGTCACGTGGGCGAGAGTGGGTGACCACGTCACGAACCCATGTTCGTGTAGAATTATTGATGCATTCGCGCTCTTTCGCAAAAAGGGCGCGATAACAGAAAAAAACCATTTGTCTGGAGGTCATATCTTATTTTTACTTTTTATGACCTCTGTCCACGTCAAACAGGAGCGTTGAACTAATGTGAGCTATATGAAGGGATGGAACTTATCAAAAAGTATGGTACATTCGATACGATTAGAATTAAATTACGCGTACCTAGAGTCCCTTTACACTGAGAGTTAAGACAACCCCCCCCCCTCATGGAGTCACAAACGGGAATAAAGATTACACAAATTAAAAGTTTTTCGTAATCTTTGATCGGCCAATTCTCAAATTCCTTTCTCCGTTCTTTCTCTCATTCCGTTTGTTCCTTGCCGAACCCGTAGTTCTCCGGTCCATTCCAGATTATAATCTTTGCAATTGGTGAAAACGTAATCTTTATTCCCGTTTGTGACACTGTGGAGGCCTAAAATACGGGAACCAATCAGAAATGGATTCATATTATTTTAGCTCTCAGTATAAAGGGATTCTACCCGTACCCAGTGGTGTGTTCAGGATATTTTGATGGGGAATTTGCAGTCAATTTTCGGGAGGGAGGAGGTTGGATCTGCAGATAAAAAATTCCTAAAAATCACAAAATCCTAAATTCTTGAAATGAAAAAGTATTATTTCTCGCAATGTTATTATTATCACCTCTTCCTGATGTGGCAAATCATTCCAACTCATTACTAAATTGTAGAGGGGGATATTGGCATTGCCTGATAAATAATCACCGCAGAGGTAATTCTTGGAAGTTGGCAGCAATGCTTTTCCTCAATTTAAAACCATTGTAAATAATCAACTTCAGGGAATTTGGTCTGATTTGATGAATATCGATTTCCATACGTTTAAATAAGCGAGGTTCAAGGTTCACTGATGCAAACTCCAAGAGTCGTCATTGGGTCAACGCGTATGCGGAGACTACGTGCCAAGGAATCAGCCCCCCCCCCCCCCCATGCTATTTGCAAAACGGGAGCTGACGACTTGTCAGGACGCCTGGGCATAGGTCGTCACGCACTTCAAAGTACGAGAATAAAAGAAAATGAAAAAAGTGGGAAATGAGGAGAAAGCAAGAGGAAGAGGAATTTGGAGAATTTTGACTTCAGATTTATATACAGACATTGCATACACACACAAACAAGTTTAGGGCTATAGGACATTTCGTCAACGATTCTTTGTCCGCGCACCTGTTTTTTCCAGTAATTTACGTCCACACGTTTTTTCGGCATGGGAGTTTTGGTCCACGTGCCAATTGAGACCCAAAGTTAATTGGCTCACATGTAAATACAGACGACAATTGCTCACGACGTTTTTGGATGAAAATGTAAAATGTCTTGGAAGAATGAGGGTTTGCTTGTTTTTTTTTTGTTTTGTCTGTTTCGTCTAATGGAGAATAATATATGTACAGTTGAGAGTTTTGGTAAAACTGGGGGAGCGTCAATTCCATGAGACATAATTCACTAAAACTCTCTACACCTCTTTGGTGTAACAGGACTTAATTATCTTTCATGATTTTCCCACCTTGTTATAACTGAACCGGATAAACCTCTATATTTGCCTCAGCTGAAGGCTCTTAGATTTTTCCAGTGTACGATGAGTATCTTGATTTATTTTTCGAGGAAAGATCTGTACTTTCAAAGGATGTCGTACTTTCAAAGGATGTCATTCTTAATACGTTCAATTTTGTATAGTACTGTGCAACACCTCTGTTGTGAAATAGTTGCCTCAGGCGCCGCCGCACGGCGGGCGGGAAACGCGCATTGGCGCCTTCAAACCTAAGTGGATACTTCGAGCATTGTGCAATGCGCGAAGTATCCACTTAGGTTTGTAGGCGCCAGTGAGCCTCTCGCGCTGGCAGCACGCCGCTCCGCTCTGTTAGGCTTTAATATTTATACTCGCATAGTCTGCGTATTTTAACTCCTGATTTTGAAATGTTTGCACATTCTGCATTGATTATTCTCATTTAAATTGATGGAAAAAAATATGTATCAATTGATCAAAGGAGAATAATCATATAATGTGTGTTTTTTAAATATTGGTGGTTCGTGTCAAATTTAATGATTTCCAAAGCACTTTAATTTTTCTTTTACATTTTGTGCTTTTATTGTGCTGCAGCGAGGTGTACGCGCGACCAAACACTAAAAATTTGACGTATTTGACTCTAAAAGATCGATGTGCAAATGGATTAAAATTAAAGATTGCGTGCCTCTTAGTTTTTGTAAATCAAAAATGTAGGTATCAAGGATGGGTCCAAATGTAAAAAAATCCTGAAAATTACGAAAAATGACTTTTTTGGATAAACTTTCCCGGTTGTAGAATGAAAAAAGGTGGGGGTTGGGGGGTTGAAGACCCCCTGGCTCTACTCCTGGCAACCCACTGTGCTGGATGGGAAAAAGGCGGAAGTTTAAATTCAACGATTATAAGTGGGGGAGTTATTCGGAAAGAAGGGGTTTCGGAAAGGAAAATGAAGGAGGTGTTCAAGAAACGACTATGAACACAGCCCCTAACGTTGAGTTATCGTGATCTGAGGGATGACTCACTTGCAATAAAAGAACCGCCCACATGTGCTTCCGTGTCATCCCTACGAGGGCGCTTTCATCCCTCTCCCGCTGAGTGTCCGATGACTGTCCTTAACCGGTGTGTTTACCTTGTGTTTCAGGATGAAGCGGAAGTATTACTCATGGGAGGAAGCGATGAACCTGAGGGAGGTGAAGGTGCGTAGTCATGGCAACGTTTAAACAAATATCACCGAGTTTTGGTGGACTCTATTTATCGTATTGTTTATCGGAAATTGTGCAACCCTATTTTATTTGTCTACCGCGATCAGTGACGTATGCGCGGAGATTCTTCACATAATCGGGTTGCCAGCTCAGAGCATGCCATGTTTTTTTTTTACTCAATTAAGCAGAATGAAACTAAATCCCATTATGTTAAAGGGTAAAAAAGAAAGAAACAAATAAATGAAACACACATCGAACAAAAAACAATAAATCTAAGAAAAAACTGAGACGTCTACGCTGGCTACCAGCTATTATCAGTCGGCGGAAAAAATAATCACAATCACAGTTGATTAAATTTTGATTTTTTGTATACACACAGTTATTCACAGAAAAAGATTTTAGTCCAAGAAATCGCAGGGTCAAGTTAAAAAACCAAGAAAAAAATAATTCCTTTAAGCAGTTTGTGACTTTTCTCTAGATTGCAAAGAACATTTTCGCGATAGCCGAAAAAAGTTACGTGTAGTTAGACCGACTTTGGACAATACTTTGAAACTAGATGTATTTATGCTAACTGGAACTATGTGCTGATGAGTAACAGCAAAATAAACCATAACCCTGTGTACTTAATTTATTTTGATTTAATTCAATTTTTAAATAGTTCTTTTTACCATAAATAGTCAAATTTCTGAACGATACTTGAACTTATGAACCCTATCCTGAATATTCATATGGTCTCTTTGTTTAGATGAGATTTTTCGTCCCTACAACTGGCATCAATGATTTGAATGGTCGATACGCCTATTGTTTATTGTAGATTTTTTTTATGGGCCTTTGTCATGGCAGAGGCTTATAGAAACAGCAGTTCCTCATTGTTTTTGGAGCCGTTTCCGCCTCCTTGTTACTGGGCGCGGTTGCCAAAATCCGTCATAGAGCATGCAAACATACCCTAATTCATACGTAAAATTTAACAATATTCATCGGTTCGGCATCCATTTCATCGGGTTTATTGGAAAGCTCTCGTGTATGTTATTACACATGATTTTGCCGCCATTTTTATTGCAGGAGCCTTCTCAAGGGAGCGTCCAGAAGAAAGGCTATTAAAGTTTGTCATTTTTTTTACACAAAGCTTTAACAGCGGCTTTTTCTTTATTAATTCAAGACTAGAAACGAAATAAACAAAAAGAAAAATCGGCACTAAAACTGAGTGGCGATACTCATGATTTGATGGCGTTGCATTCCGTTTACAAAATCGGCCATTCTGCGGAATGGGCAGTTTTTTCGCCATTTTGTCACATTATCATTTTCGCAGAATGGCCGGAAAATCAGCCAATGCGTGAACTGGCTACCCAATGAAATTAATCAGAATTCCTTAAATAAATTGGGAAGTAGGCGAGTGACTATGCTCGTAGATACGAGAAAATCACTCCGAACATCGCTGAACAACCAATAACGAGAGAAGTCTCTCTGTTGCAAGGTAACCCTTTTATCACAGAGATTCTCTGCGACACAAAGGTCTCCTCAGTAAGGGTCTCTTCACAAAAGGGCAGCAGAGATAACGATAACCCGAGCCAAAAAATAAAAAAAAAAGATGGGCCTCTGTAATATTGGATATTCGCGTTTTGGTGCCCTTCTCCGAGTTCAGACATGCCAGAGCCAGATGCGATCCTGGCAACCTGCTTGAAATTGCTTTGAATGCTAGTTTACACTTGTGAAATTCGAATAGGAGCATGCGTCGGCCAAGTATCTCCGAAATGCCTTCGAAGTGATGAAGTTGAAAATCCAGCGACTTTAATCAGTACTAAAATTAGGCCAAATGAGTTGGTGCGTTAAGTCCGCCTTCAATTTTGAGCGATACTGTGCCCGCTCAGGTGGTTGAATAGTTGCATCGCGCTCCCGTGCGCTAACTATGAATCTCGTTCATTTTTATTGTGATTCCTCAAAATCCAGCAACTTTAGCCTGACGAGTTGGCACGTTAAGTTCGCCTTCGATTTAGAGTGATACTGTGCCATGCTCAGAAGGTCGAATAGTTGCATCTTGCATCGCGGCTTTGTGCGCTAGGTATAGGTCACGTTATTTTTTATTGTAATTATTCCGTAAACACCTCACCGCCACTGATGTGCCTGACTCACCGTGCAAAACTTAGAACTAACCTGGAGATAATCGCATTTGGACATTCCGTAAAGGACATTTTGAACATTTTCGTCAAGCATCGGTCAAATTTATGTCTTTTCTAGATCGACTGAAGTTATTTGATTGAACACGGAAAAAAACCTTTTTTATCGCCGATTTTGGCGTTTTAAGGTTAAGTCAACCAAACCGCTGGCAAAGCCAATGTTTGATTTATCTCTACCTAAGAGATGGTATAATCGATCAAATTCCTTGGTTAGTGCTGGTAAATAAGTATGATTTAATCTATCATTCCTTTTTCCGTGGTCTTAAAATCGCACCCAAGAAGCGCGATTGTTTCAACCTCATTTCCTCGTTGGCTGCTTAGTAAGTTGAAGCATCTCAGGAAACAGGCGAAACGGCTCAAGAGGTGTTCCAAGTTCAAAAGTTTCACTAAGACGTGGATTTTTGAAGGAGTTAAATGAAAAAGTGACGGCGGAGATAATTTGTTGTAAAAGCCGGCGCGCCAGCGAGGCGTTTCGTAGGTCGCGTAGGCGCTCTAATTGATGAGAGCACTTTCAACAACGCATCGGTCACGCAACCGACACCTAAAACTCTCTCCGAGACCCTGAACTTTGGTTAGCCTACCAAGGCTCGTGTACTAATGATATTAATGACGGAATTTCACCCTTTCACGGAAATCGATGACAAATCCGAGGCCTAGAGAGCTCACGGAATCAGGATGAATTATTGAAGTAAGCAAGAGGGAAGACAAATAAAAATAGTTTTGCTTGTTTTTAATCCAAGTAAAAATTTTCTTTTGAAATTAGGCTCTGTCCACACGAGCGTGGTTCGAGGAACTTATTCGACGAACTTCTCAGTTTCCCGAAACTTGTTCCTTAAACGAGGCATGCTGTCCACACGAGTTCGCCCGAAGTGAAACCGGGACTTCAATATGAAACTATACAATTATTGAAAAATAATAGATTACTACGGCCGCGAGAGTAGTAAAAACAAACGTAAAGACAGAAAGGACTTAACAAACGAAAGCAAAAAAAAAGAGAGAGAAAAAAGAAAGAGAGAGAGAGATGCGCAGAAGCTTGGAGTTTGGGGGAAATTTCGGGGTTTGGAGAACTAATTCCCGGAACTAAGTTCCTCGAACCGCGCTCGTGTGGACAAGGCCTTATAGAAAATGGCATAACCACGGTGAGATCACCAGACCATGTATTTCGGGTTGCGACGCTGCAGACTCCCTATCATTCTTTATTTTTTACAAGGTAAAATACACAGAGTCAATTACTGAAATCTTCCGTGATATTTTTCCTCTGTGCGAAGAACACTCCGTGAAGACTACAAGGCATGATAATATTTGTTCTCTTTCAAAAAAATGAAAAGAAAGTCGAGATTTTCAAACAACCCAGACGAGATACGTGGTATCGCAGTGTCCAGGTCGATGTGTTATCGATGAAAATTTTAAAATTCGTCAAATTGTATAAGAATCATATACATGCGAGACAACGCTTTCTTTATCCTTTCATTTTTATGAAATAAATCCCTATGCATCTAAATAAATTTTGCTAAAGGAAGGGTTTTTTGCAAAGCAAAAATATTTTTTTAAAATTACGCATTCAAGTTTTTAGTGCATATGCTGATACTGAGAAGAAAACTAAACCAAATTAACTGCCCTAGGCATTTCCAGTCTGTAGATCGATATACAGGCGAGCAAATACTACATCTTCAAAAAATACCGAAATTCAGTACAAAGCAGAGTATTTTAATGTTTCAATTTCTTTTACAAATGAATCTTCTCTCTATTTGATTTTCAGTCTTTGAAGAAACTAAGTCATGCAAATTTGGTGAAATTAAAGGAAGTGATTCGTGAAAATGACACACTGTACTTCGTTTTCGAGTACATGAAAGAGAATTTATATCAACTTATGAAAGAAAGGTACGTGTTTTTTTCTTTCTCACTTTCATTTTTAACCACCTATGTGTTGCACTTTTCGAACTTTGGTAAAAATCTTTTTCCTCCATTTAAATCTATCATGAATGATTCATGTTTTTGTAGCTTGTGCATTAAATATCTGCACCAATGAAAATATTCAACAAAACATTTATTGATGGCTAAAAATTGGATTTTAGACAGAGGCTATATACGCGTGGTCAAAATGGAACAAGCGAGTTGTATGACGAGCCCCTCTTCTTCTGCTTTTCCTTCTCTCTATTTCTGATGTAGCCATTGGCAGATCCAGCAGTTGGCAACATTGCTATTTCTCCATTTAAACATGTGAAAATGAATCGATTTCAGAGGAGGCTGGTGCTCCGCAAGAATCGATTACTGAACACAAGTTAAATTGGAAAAAATAAAACAATATTGCCAACTTGCTGAATCCGCCTTTGGATGCGATCTCATCGGACGCAATATTATCGTCGCCCCTCCGACTAAGGACGGACCCCGGTTTCCACGTGAGCCCTGTTTTACATGTAAATCCATGCTTTCTGGAGCTCATGCAGAAATCAAGATACTCCCTTATACGCCAGGGGAGCGACGATATGTCCATTACTGCCATGATAGCGAAAAGAGCCGTAAATGCAAAAATGAAGTTTTGAGAAAATGGGCTGAGTAGCATCATGAGCGGAAACTTTTATGGAAAGAAGCTTGCGTTTTTTGTCGAGATGCAATGGCCCCTAAAGCCGAAATACATTTGGATGTGTAATAAATAATTTTTAAGTATCTACGTGGCACATGGCCGGATTTACCTACTTGCCGCCCATGGGCCGCCTGTATTTTGCCGCCCTCTTCTCATTCATTTTGAAACATCAAGAAAAACCATCAAGTGAACGTGCCGCAGGGAGAAGGGTGCATAAGACGCGTTCACTCGTGTTGGACACATTTTTTTGCGTAAGCCCTGTGAACACTACTAGCAAAAGTTTACGGAACTTCGCGCGAAAGTTCAGTTCCGTAAACCTATCTCTGTGTGGAAAAGGCCTTTCATTTGTAAGATATGAACTAAAAAATTAAGAAAGAACAAACATAAATGTGGTTTAATAATTTTAACTTCCGCCGCGCTGACCACACTGTGTTTGGCGCAATGCGTGAAGTATTCATGTAGTCTTGTAGGAACTGTGCGTTTCACGCCGCGCCGACCGCTGTTGACCGCACTGTGTTTGACGCAATGCGTGAAGTATTCATGCAGTCTCGTAGGCGCTAATATGTGTTACATGCCGACCGCTGCCCCGAGGGCTTCTCCTTTCAATCTCAAGTCTTCGTCATCATTTCTCTCTGCGCCGCGCCGCTCCAGGCCAAATTACGTGTTTGGTTTCTCTCGTAACTCAACTAATTAAAGGTGCGCAATCTTTTGCATCACCGAAATACTACAAAAGTAGAAATTAATGAGCTCTCAGGAAATGAGAGATTTTGTCACTTTTTCTTGTTTGTAATTTTATTCTGAATCCGATTTTTTTGTACCTGCATTGAAAAAAAATGCAAAATTTGCCGCCCCCTTATTTTGCCGCCATGGGCCGCGGCCCATGTGGCCACCCCCTTAATCCGGCCCTGACTTGGCATATATCTCTGTTCAAAACAAGCGAGTAAAGACTCTCAGAAATCGTTTGGATGATTAAAAACCGACCAATTTTATTTCAATTATTTGAACAGGGTACTACTCATTTTCATGTTAGGCTAGTGTGAAGCAAAACAGTCGTAAGTACGTGCTCTCTTGGTTGCGTTTTGGACACACAACAAACACACTTTTAAGTTAGAAATTGACAGCAAAGGGTGAAGTTTCAGTAAGAAGCACTGTTTTCATTGGCTTTATGGCTCCTAACGGTTGTTTCGTCCAAATCTACGTCATTTTTGGCGCACTTACAGCTTTCTCATATGTCTCATTTTCATAAAAAAAGACGAATTTTGCTGTCTTAGCTATTTCATTGATTTCATTTAAACGAGATTAGATTAATTTTAAAGGGAATACTCGCTTTCCAAAATTTAAGAGTTACGGCTTTCCTCGCTACCACGGCGGATCAGACCATGATTGAAAATGTGCACGCTGAGTGTCAAGAAAGCCTTTACGTTTTTTCTGTAACTTTACGCTGAAAAAAAATTATCGGCGTTTTTACCAAGGTCCGTTGGTACCTTTACCATCTCCTTTTTTTACCAATTATTGGTAATTTTACCAAAACAGACTGGTAAGCTTACCTAAAAACCGGTATTTTTACTGTTTTTTTCAGATAAGAATACCATTTTTATTGGTAATCAATTCTCGGTAACTTTGCCATTTCATCTCGGTAATTCTACCACAGTCGATTAAAAATATTGACGTTTTTACCAAGTTCCAGTAAAATTACCGAGAAAGTTCAATAATTTTACCGAGATTTCTCGGTAAATTACCAATTCCATAAATGGTAATTTTACCAAGAAAAAACTGGGATCAAATAGAACCCTGAATTCTTGGTAATTTTACCCTTTTCTTAGTAAATACACCGAGATTTTGTTTTCAGTGTATTCTTTGTTTCCAGGGATCGGCTATTCCCGGAGCCTGTGATACGGAACATGCTGTACCAGGTGCTACAGGGGTTGTCTTTCATGCACCGGCACGGGTTCTTCCACCGGGACCTGAAGCCGGAGAATCTGCTGTGCTGTGGCCCGGAGCTGATCAAGATCGCAGACTTCGGGCTGGCGCGGGAGGTCCGCTCCCGGCCGCCCTACACGGACTACGTGTCCACCCGTTGGTACCGCGCTCCGGAGGTCCTCCTCCACTCGACCACCTACAACAGCCCCATCGACCTCTGGGCCGTCGGCTGCATCATGGTCGAACTCTACACCCTCCGACCCCTCTTCCCCGGCAACAGCGAGATCGACCAGATCTTCAAGATTTGCTCCATCCTCGGAACGCCGGACAAGGTCAGTCCATAAAGAAAAAAAGGAGGTGTTTGCATCTTGAGGTTTGTTTACCCTGTGACGTAGGTCGGTACAATCTGGCCAGCGAAATCCGGAATTCGAAATATGAAGAACGGACCATAAAGTCCGATTTTTTTACTTAAATCAACTCATAATATAATTTTAAGCACTTTTTATAGAATGACTTTCTTCCATAAATTACACCATTTCCAAGAAAATCGATGATAAAAGTCGCTGTACCGACTTACGTCATCAAAAAAATTCCAAGATGCCCGAAATGCAAACACCTTTTTTTTCTCTATGAGGTCAGTCATACACAGACCGGACGGTTGTGTCCGAGTCTCTAACCGTTTTTATGTAAAACACGGCGATTGAACTGCGTTTGGCATAAAGGACCAAGCCACATCAACTATCGCCAAATTTAACTGTGCAATTTACATTTTTGTAAGAGAACGTTTTTGCGGATTTTTTTTTGAGAATTTTAAGGAATTTGCTCCGCACTGTGCAGAAAGTTCGCTGGAATTTACAAAAAAAAAAAATCCGCACAACCGTTTTTATATAAATATAAAAGTGTCCAAATAACTTTGGCAACACCGTATGTGGTTTGATTCCTTTTTGCTGAACGCAGTCTATTTGTGATGCATGCAACCACCTCCTTTTACTGTCTATGACTTGGGTATGCAGCATGGGCGATACCCCGTCTGGAAGAAGAGTGGGCCTCAATGGAAGGTATGCAAAGACGCCTCAATATTGAGGAAATCGGGGGGGGGGGGAGGCTTCGGGATCCGTCCAGTGGACTATGTGTAAATATGCAAGACAGGGTGCCACACGAACCAGTGTAAATGTATAAAAAAATCGGTCACTTATGTACTTATAAATGCCATTTAAGTGCTAGTCGCTACAACGCAAGTAGTCCTGATCTTCCAATTTTACCTTCCAACTAGAATATGTTCATGATTGTACCTTGACCAGAGTTGGAGAATTTGCACACACAAATTTTATTGCTTCATCTGAAAGTGCCTAATGAGCTGAGTTCGCAGTATTTTTCATTCTTTTTTTCTGACATGGTAAATTGGAGAAAAATTGATTTAAAAGTGAGAAAATGTGCCGCTTTATACGGTCATCTGGAGGAATTTCCCATTTCAACACATGCATTTTAGCAGAATCGGTTATTTTTTCATACTTCCTCTAATAATTGCTCAATTTTATGAATCAAGGGTATCATCGTGTTCAGTTCACTCAGGAGATTTCACTTGAACACGAAATTCATCAAATTTCAGACCCTTGAAAATTCTCCATTAGATTATTATAAAATAAGAGGATCCGTCCAAACAGCAACTGTCTACGTTGAATGTTAACCGAGGAATCGTCCTTTAAAAAGTCAGGTTTTTGACGTCATCCACCGCGGTCGTGCATAACATATCGCGGTGAATGACGTCATAAATCGAGCGTGATGCCTCGGTTAATATCCAAAGTAGAAGGATTCTGTTTGGATAAATATTATTATTTTCAGTTGATCCGCAAGAATCAAGCATCAAAACACGATTCTGTGACCAGCTCAACTGCCCCATTCATAAAGCTATACCTTGAAAGGATAAGCATGAGACTCATAAACGGGGCTGAATGTTGAACATTGACGAAAGGGGTGTTTCAATCTATCTTAAGCTGAGTTCTCAAAGGCTAAACCTGATTGGTGGAATAGACCTTGGCTCAAGGAGAGGTCAATACCCCAAGCCAGTTATAATGCTCTCACCTGAGAAGCACGATTTCCGAGCAAAAGAGGGGAGGCGACAATTTATTTAAATCGCCAAGTCGCTGACCGCTCGAGTAATAAAAACTAAAAACAGCGGTGATTAAGAGGAGCGAGCAACCCTCCAGAAGGGGCGGAATTTGCTGATAAAGTTGAGATATGTAGGCTAGCAACGCGTCATAGCTGGGCTCTTGAGACATGCAAAACTCGACGTCTCAGAGTTGCCACTTCTTCACGTGTGACCGCCCGAGGAAAAGGGGACCAGAGTTTAGGCAAGTTTACCTGTAGAGTGATTTTTTTTCGAGTTCCATCGAAAAATCGGATTTTCGGATTCCCATAGAGAGCGAACTACAATGGAGGACACACATTAGACCGAATTTAATGAGAACGCAACAAGTTGTATTAAGTCTAACCGACAAAAAGAGGTTTCAAGTTTTATTCCTCCTTGAGACTCAATGTTAACAACAATGCCTAATGATTTTTTTCGCATTCAAAATATTTTTCTCGACTTAAGTAATTTTGACGGAGGAAAATTAGCGACTATTTGAATTCAAAACTAGGTACTTCCAATTTTTATTCCCCCAAAATGTGACACGGTACATTTCAGTTTATTTTTTTATTATTATTATTATTTTTTTATTTGTATCTCAGAAATGCATAATTTTACAAATACTTTACAAGTCTTATCATTTAAATATCATTCATATCATATTAATTCAGGGTTCACTTCAATTAAGTGTTTGCGTCCCGAGACACGCCGGAATTACCAACAGGTATATCGTCGGTCGGGGTTATTGTTACAGTCTTATTGATACTAATACTATATACATTCCTCGGTACATTTCTGTTGAACTCAATCCCTATTAGGCCTCGAAGAGATACGTTTCCTAATTCAAATTTGCCGAAGACGTCATGGAACATATCGGTTACTAGGACCCCAGAACGTCCCGAACTTTTAATCTTTGGAATTTTAAGCCTTGCCATCCATTTTCTGTGCTTTTTTCACCCTGTAAAATATCGAGCCATTGTTTTTCATTCATTTTTTTTTTTTTTATTGAGAGTTTAGTGGCTTCTATTCCTTTAGGAATCTACAGCCATCTATAGGCACTATTTATTGTCCGAAGACATCAGGGAGTGTTTTTCATTCATTGTTGTGTGAGAAACATTTGATGTTTTAAACCCAGCTCATGGATAAACAGTTTTTTGTTAAAATATTTTCTTCAATGCTTCAGAGCGGCAACGTCGAAGTGCCCCCCGCACCGCGCCACCGAGTTAAAATTTAAAGCTTTCGGCTTTCGACAGGAGTTGTTACCGTCGGTTATAGCGTGAAAGTATCGGTCGTGATAGCGGGTCTCCTGAATTATGCACGCAGACAATGATACGAATAATAAACCCCCTCCCCTTGTCTCTGTTCCTCTAATTACTACCCCTGCGGGACACGGGGAGTTACACATCCTGTTTTTCCTCGTTCCCACCGGACAGCGGTCGGTTCTTGACTTTCGTGCCCGCAGAACTTTCGCATATTTCATGCCGCCCAGGCTGGCCGACGAGCAGTTACTAGGGGTCAACGTGTCCCATGAAATATCAGAACTTTTTTTCTGGAGCCTGTCTAATTGCATACGCAAAGTATTGAAGGCGCTTTGGGTTCCCTTCTACTGTTGTATGTGATAGGTGCAAGTAGAGTACCCCTATAGCCTGTCTAATTGCATACGCAAAGTATTGAAGGCGCTTTGGGTTCCCTTCTACTGTTGTATGTGATAGGTGCAAGTAGAGTACCCCTATAAGGCGAGTATGGACAACTCGAAAAGGAGGTTGATCAAGTTCCCCAATGCTCCGATAAGTGTCTTAAACTAACAATGGATGGTCCCTTAGTAATCTTAAAGCTGATAAATTAGTATTTTGGATACGGAGAATTACTGCTGCATTACTTTTTTTTTGATTCGGCGTTTTTTCTGTTGCAGCGAGACTGGTACGAGGGTTACCAATTGGCGGCCGCCATGAATTTCAAATTTCCGCAATTCGTGCGTGTGCCCCTGAATACAATAGTGCCAAATGCATCACACGACGCCATAGTCCTTCTAGAAGCTCTCCTTCATTGGAACCCCTCCAAGAGGCCAACAGCTCAACATGCTTTGAGGTATTCCTTGTGCGATCGAGTATTCTTACTCATTCATCTTTTGATAGGATGAAAATTTCTAAATTACGAAACATTCTCGTAAAAACAAGTGAAGTCTGCTTTCAAACAATCTCGGAAATTTTGGAAGTACTTTCTTCACAGTCTAGAGTAAATTCGTAGACAATTCAAAAGCGTTAAGTGGTTAATTATCTTTTAAAAAAATATACCGAAAATGGTAGTGTACCGGAAATGTGTCGATTCTTAGAGGGTCCAGGTGGTCCGACAAGAATCGATTATTTAACGTAGGTTTAAATGGAGGAAATCCAGTGTTTCCAAATTGCTGGATCCGCCAGTGCGATTGCAGTGAGGCTAACCCCGGTTAGATCTATTCGCACGGGCTACATTTTGCAATTAGGTGCTACAATTTCTGGTTCATCTGTAAAAACGTTCACGTGCCTGAAGAAACTGATGGAACATACGTTGTTTCTAAACTGAGCCAGCAATTGTAGTTCCTATTTGCATAATGTACTCCAAATGATCGCACTTTTTTTCAGTGATGCGCCAGCGAGGGAAGTATATAGTAGAAGACTATCCCGGTAAACCACAGCAGAAAAGTTAATTTGTTTTCGTGATGAGTAATGATTTTCCTCTTTCGTTTCAGACAGGCGTATTTCCAAGTCGGGCATCGGCTCAACAGCCATCATCGGCACGAGTTAGCCGCCACCGACCGCAACCTATCGATCAAGTCAAATCCAGCTCGAACTACACTTACCATCGTCCCCAAACAGATCACGCTCCACGAGAGGGACTTCAATGAGATTTTAAGGTTAGGCCCCTCCGAGGTTTTATACTAGATACATTGCAGGGTATGGTACAGACCTACCGTACCACATTTTTTTATTGCTTATTTTATTAAGTTTAGAACCATACGGGGAAGAAGTGGATATTGATCCCGAAAAATCCGAATTTCATGGTTCTGGAGTTCCCCCGGGCCTGGGTTTCCTTGGTAGGTAAACGGTGGGTCCTCATCTCAAAATTTTGAAATTATTTAATCGGAATCAGTAAGTACAGACAATTTTAACCTGTATCAATACCAAGAAATTCAAAATCGGCCCATCCGTGTCCAAAATACTTGCCCCTAAAGGTGGGGGACAGAGCCCTCTTTAAAAATTGTAAGTTTGCTAAATTGACTTATAGAGGCTCGGAAGAAAAATGTGAAAGATGGGTAATCCACCCCATGGTATCCGAATTTGAGAGTTCCGTTGCCCTCAGAGGTTTCTCTGATGAGGCACAGGGTTATCAGGTGAAATCCACTGTATTCAGCTGTACTCAGATCAACTGTATTTCAACTGTATTTCAACTGTATTTCAACTGTATTCAGATCGGCATATCGACGGTGTAATCCCGCAACCACGTATCTCGATTTGCAACGTCACCTAATGTTTTTGTCATACTTAATTTTTTAAATGCCGAAGTACGAAACGGCAACTCTTAGATACTGCCATAATTATTCTTCTCTGTATGAAGAAAATTCTGCGAAAACTTCAAGGAATGATGTCGATTTGTTCTCTTTAAAAAAATATAAATTAGGATTGGAAATTTTCAAACACGGGAAACAAGTTATGTGATTGCGGACTTACACCGTCGATATATATACATCCTCAGGCAATTTAATGCTTGCAGCAGTCGCGCTATCACTGCTGAAGATAGAGGAAGGGCGGTAGACCCTCTGAAACGACGTTCGGCCAATTAATTAAGAGAGGAAAGTTTGAGCGTTTTTTTTTCTTTTCGTTTTTTTTTTTAAATTCATTCTTAGAAATTCCCAGTTTATTTAATTTTGTCCTTTCCTCATTTCTAGCCTAGTCCAACTATTATCATTAGGCTAACCTGAGCGTTGACCTTCGTCTGTAAATTATATTCAACAGGGAGCAAGCAATACGGGGTCTCTGAAGTATATTGTCTCTGTCCAGACGGCAGACGGCGTCTCCTCCTAATTAGTGATAATATTAACCGCATCGTCTCTTCTGCGTGCGGTCCTCCAACGCGCAAATTGATTGTCCCAGTCTGACGTCAGAGAGCGCTTCAAGACCAACAAAGGAGTGATAAACAGAGGCTGAGAGTCCGTTTTAATATGCATCCGACGGTGAAGCTTTCGAATCACGAATCGCACAATTCCACAATACACGTCCGAGAGAACTCTTGAAAAAACAAAGAAAAATCAATTAAAACTTTGAACAATAATGGTGGTCAGACCTGATTTGAAAGGATGAAATGTGAAAGGAGGTTTGCAATTTCGTAAACCGAGACACGTGGTTTGGTAGTTTCACCGACGTATGTTTCAGTCACGAACACGAAAACAATGTAGCTTGGTTTCGAGTTGTTCGATTTTTCAATCAATCGATTAATGTGCATATTTTGAAACGATAAATTTTCAAAATCTGAGAAAAAAGTATGGTTTGAGCGACAGTGGTATTATCATGGTAATCACCAACGCAAACTGGCCGCGAAGACCTTATAACTTCAATCGTATTCACCAAAAGTATGGTAAATGCTATCAGATGTCTCGTAAACTTTACTCTATTACCACTGCGTCCAAAATCAAGTAGACTATTGTCAGAATCTACCCTTACTTTTGGTAACAATCGCCATACTTTTTTTCAGTTTGTACTCACTGTACCCCCAGTTGATGCCCGCTATAGGGTTCCCAAGTGTACATTAGCATTTGTGCTGAATTTGAGAATAAAAAATCATGTGTCCAAAATATTTTCAATGACAATCTGGTAAACGGCAGCTTGCAGGTGCTCAAAGCAACTGGTCTTCTATTTTTTCTGTGTACCCATTCAGTATATTCTCGACAATGCAAAATTCAAGAGACCGAGAAATTTGTTCAAAACCATCGAGTTTTTCAATCAACATAATCTCAAAGTACTGAGTGAAAGCCACTCTTACTTCCAGTGCCTCGAATTATGAAAATTTTCGCTCAATTTCCAAAAATGTAAAGGAGGAGAGCACCTTCATTTCTCCAAGATACCGAGAAAACTCCAACAGATTGGATGTTTAATTCCTTCGAAAATTACAAGTTTTTTCAATAAATGGACCGGGTTTATCAGAAAGGAACCAACCCACACTTTTGGAAAAATTGAGTTAAGAATGTTTTTGAGTTTCACTAGTCGTTTAGGTATTTTCTCTTGGCAAAACCCGAGAGTCCAAAAAAAGAAACTAGTCTATGAAAACATGGGTTAAAGTTCATTTTTTATACATTGAGTTTTATCCAGAGATATAACTTCAAACTTCTTTTTCTCAATTTCAACTTAATGTGGATTGGTTCCTTTCTGATGACTCAGTCCGAATGAGGTTCAAATTACCAAGATTGCAGTGCATTATAAATGACCAGCTTATTTGTAACCGAATTCATAATCTGCTCGGATTTTTTGGGCAGGGTGAAAGCTTAACGGCTGATTTGTCTTTTTGTAATGTTGTGATGTAGGCCCTTGGTGAGTGACATGAGTTATCTCTCTGTTAGCAGCAAAATAATGCCCCCAGTGAAACAGTCGATGAAGGAGAACCGAGGCTGGTATGAGCGGCACGAGAAGGAGTCTCCGATTAAAAAGCTCAGCGCCAAACAGCACTATCTATCGGTGGCGAGGTACGTCACTGGACAATCAACTAATTTAGCCGCCAAGTGAGTTCTCAATATGGATATCAAGATCTTCGGCGGTTGGGTTGCGGGGGTTTAAAAAAAAAAACAGAAAGAACACATTTTTCCCCTTCTCTCCTCTCTGGTTTAATGACTCTCATTTCATTAGAGACCTATGGACAACCGGACGTATTCCCGCCAAACGGAACTATGTGCATCATGACGGGAGCCCTGTTATGCTTATATTCTTATGGGTCTCAGGGCTCATGCCTTAATGCACATAGTTCTGTTTGACGGAAATGCGTCCAACTGTGGTTTCTATTTGTTATCCTACAACATCAAGGGATCGGCGCATCCATGCTTCGGGCTTTTCAAATTTCAAGAATGAAGGCCGAGTTGTATTTGTTTCTGCATGTCCTCCCGTCAATCCCGTGAAAATTTCTCGCCTCTACCGGGATTCGAACTCAGAGTTTACTGACCAAGAGTCAGACGCGCTGACCACAGCCAACCTGTACGACCAAATGAATACCTCCTTGAGTTGATCTATGGTGGGAGTAGGCAAACATCGAGAATTTTATTAATAAGTTGTCATAATGCTGTCTCACTTTAAATTTCTCGCAAAGGAACCAATCCATTACGCCTAGAGGCAAATCTCAGCTACTTTTACCCCCCAAAAATCTTACATTCGTAAAACTAATAGAACGAGAATGCGAATACTAACCGTTCAATTTGATCAATCGAATGCAATATTTTGCGTCCGCATACTCAAGCTTTATTTTAGGATTTACGAAATAGATTCTGCGAAAAGACAGAGCTGAAACGTGGCCGCTAAAATGTGCCTCTGGGTGGAATGTATCCGCTTTTTACACAAAAATTCACAATGGAATCAGTAATTTAGCCGATTGAGTTCAATATTTTGATGTTCGTTTACCTCTTGTGTAGCCTCTTTTTCATAAGATAAAATCAGGCTTATTTTTAATGAGTTCTAATGGTATTAATAATGTATTAATAGTACTAAGTAATCGTATCGCTAGCGTGCGAATAAAAATATGTGAACCGTATAAAATGTCACATACCATCCATAAATCATATCATGAAAACCTACGACTAGCATATTATGAATGGCCATAGGTTGATTTTATACCAGGGAAGCGTCAACTGCAATGATTTGATCAGTTTTTATTATAATGATAGCTCTCCGCATTCACTAATTTTGAAAAGTACTCCTGATCCATAGAAATTGCCCTCAATTCTTGTGAATACCAACAGCCTGACTTCCGTTCGTCACAACATGCAACTTACTCGAACGCCGTGTTTTTTTTTTTTGTTTTTTTTTGTTTTTTTTTTATTTTTATTTTTTTTTTAATTAACTACCTAAAATTCTCGTCTTTCTCAGGGTAGCCAAATGCCTCGATTCTTTCTTTATTATATTTTTGTCTTAATTTACATTTTTTATTGTTGTCCACCCCTGTTGCATTCTTAAATGCTGTCATTTGGCTGTCATGCAGGGTCGGATTTACTTAATTGCCGCCCATTGGCCGCCTGTATTTTGCCGCCCCCTTCTCATTCGTTTTGAAACATCAATAAAAACCATCAAGTGAACGTGCCGAAGGAGGAGAGGTGCATAAGACACGTTTACTCGTGTTGGACACAGTTTTTGCGAAAGCCCTGTCAACGCTACTAGCAAAAGTTTACGGAACTTGGCGCGGAAGTTAAGTTTCGTAAACCTATCTCTGTGTGGACAAAGCCTTCCATTTACATGAAATGAACGAAAATATTATGAAAGAACAAACATAAATGTGGTTTAATAATTTTAACTTCCGCCGCCGCGCCGCGTTGACCGCATTCGGTGTTTGGCGCAATGCGTGAAGTATTCCCACAGTCTTGTAGGCGCTATGCGTTTCACGCCGCCCGCCGCTGACTGTAGAGACCGCATTGTCTTTGACGCAATGCGTGAAGTATTCATGCAGTCATGTAGGCGCTAATATGATTTACATGTCGACCGCCGCGCCGCGCCGCGGGTTTCTCCTTTTCATCTCAAGTTCTTGTCATCATAGCTCTCTGCGCCGCCCCGCTCTAGGCCAAATTCCGTGTTCGGTTTCTCTCTTAGTCTTAACTCGACTAATCAATTAAAGGTGCTGTCAATTGTATCACAGAAAGACGACAAAATTAGAGATATACTCTCAGGAAATGAGAGATTTTATCACCTTCTCTTGTTTGTAATTTTTTTCTTCTTTTTTTCATGAATGATAGCTACATTTAAAAAAATTGCAAAATTTGCCGCCCCCTAAATTTGCCACCATGGGCCGCGACCCATGTGGTCACCCCCTAAATCCGGCCCTGTTGTCATGTAAAATTTTCATCTTGAGTAAAAATTTTGAAAATAAAATATTTTAAATTTAATTTCAAATTAGCTACCATAAACCATTTTCACTTCCACTTTTTGTTTCAGTGAAAGGTTCTCTGCCCAGAAAAAGCCGTTGTTGCCTCAGCAGAACTACTTGACGAACATGAATAACATCTCTTCTTATAATAAAGCAGCACAGCCACTCTCTACCTCTGCAAGAGTTCCGAGCAATGGTCGTGTTGACTGGGCGGCAAAGTAAGTTTTTCAGCAAAAACGATTCCTGCAAGTTTTCTCTATGTGTAATTGATTATTTACCACAAATCGAAGAGAGCGATGGCAAATCTTGAAAGTTGACACTAGATTACGCCCATTTAAAATTATGTAAAATAACCCAACGTTGGTAGCACCTTGGTGTGGCTAAAGTTAAGAAATGAGATAGGAAAGCAATCAACATGTTAAATCATTTTCAGCTGTTGCTTGTTCTTGACTGCTACGATTGGACATATTCATGCTAAAAGGAACTATGTGCATAAAGTTTGCGTGCACCATAGTTCCTTTCAACATAAATGTGTCCAATTTGTGTAACTTGTATTCTTAGAACTCTCATCGGATTATTTGAACTTGACAATAAACCAGCATGAAGTACGTCCTCTGCCTCTAAATCAAAAGAATATTATGAAAATTTTCAAGAATTTTCTGTAGGCGAAAAAAAATAGTTTTAAAACTGAAGAATGAGTCGTGAAATCTTTATTCTTGGTTAAAAAAGTAGATGGAGGCAATGGACTTTTTTGTTTTAAGAAATTTAGTGTCACCTCGATAGTAAATTTCATCATTGGGGTTACAAGAGATTTCTAAAAAAAAATATGAAACCTGATCGAGAAAGTTCCAAGCATAAGGATTATCCAAAACGCACTGAGAGAGGTTAAACGCGACAAAGCTACTAAAAATGGAAAGAGGAGTTATCAAGTTTTTTGTTATTTTCGTCGATAAATACTGATCCATTTATAATTATTATTTTTTTGTTCCAGATATTTAAAATGAGGGCAAAAGTCGGTGCGCCTATGACCACGAGAAGAATCAAACATATTTGACTGTGAGGTCGATGCATTGATGAAGTTTGCTTTCGATGCTAAATTTTAAAATGATTAATTTTATACGAGTTCCTTTCCAATTTTTCTATTTGCCAAGATTGTTTTTCATAATGTTTTTAACTTTAAGAGAGATTTTGTGTTTCATGATGGTTGTTCCTGAGGTATTTGTATAGGTTTTGTAAAGGCACACGATTTCAAGTTGATAGTTGCCGGCTATAAGTCAAGGTGTTAGAAAGCGATTCCTTGACTCTTTTTTAAGACAAAAAGTAAGCTTTTTGTAAGATTTGAGATTTATTAAATGTAAATAAATGTTTTAACAATCGTCAACATTTGGTCAACAATATTTATTAATGATAATCTTTTTATGCAATTTTTAGAATGAAAATGTCATTCCTTCCACCGATCATTTAGAGTTTTTCCAAAAAGACGAAATTTTCCAAAGAGACTTATGCGTCCCAGGATAAAACTGATGTCATTCTCGGATTCAGCAGTTGAGATTACATACACTGAAAAAAAAATATTGCTGAAATTGCCGTGCACGCGGGTATTTCAATTGCATGGTAAGCTAAGAAACGAACGTGCAAACCATGCAGGTAAAATCGCTACACAAATTTCAGCTAACTTACACACACGCGTGTAGGTGATTTTGCTACCTGAAAAGCTACATCTGTTACCTTTTTAGTTATTCTTCCGTAAATTTCGCTATTTTTCCCTAAATTCCGCTATTTCAGCCTAACTATTGAGCTATTTTTACTATCCGTAAAGTACCAATACCAAAAAATGCAGTTACACTTCCAAGCCACTCGATGCAAGATTAACTGCATGAAGGCGCGCAGATGAAGCAAATCGGTGAAGCAATTCGTGCTCGTCGTTCACTTGATTCAACACCGTGCACGGATAAGAAAGCTTTACGAAGTGAAGCAAATTTTGCTCCACCCTAAATCGGTGAATTAGCGATCCTTTTTTTTCAGTGTAAGTATTCGCCTATGCCTAAGAGCTTTTCCTGATATTAAGGTTTCCTCTGTCAAACGATAAAATTTGCCCATTTATCTGACTGTACCTAGCATACCACACCAAGTTTCTGAAGTGCGGGCAACGGAGAGTCAACAGAAAATGAAAACGCAAAACCACAAATCTGCGCTCTTGCGTCAATTTGCGCAGGACGTTCATTGCTCATGTGAACACCCATCCACAGGAACGCAGAACCTCAATAATGCGATCTTGCGTTCATCAATGCAAGTTCGCCGATACACCTGCTTTTGGTTGACCCTATGCGCCACTCGTTCGCACTTAGGAAACTCGGTAAAGCGTGCTGGGTACAGTGCCTTTAAGGTCCAAGGACCTCCGAATACCAGGTGCCTCTGGATGGGTGTGAACACGGAGATCTGAAAGGGTAAAGAAAGACCACACCATAGTGTAATAATACGCTACATAACGTAAAACCGCTCAAGTGTGGTTCTACGTTACCTTTAATGCAAACCGCAGGTTAATATAGTAACTTTAGTTGATTCAAAAGTTAGTGGATTTTTAAAGAGGCATCGCTGTCGCTATGCGGAATTTTTTTGGGACTTGAAATTTCCAGAACTAAAGCTCTGTGTTGTGGAAGGACAGTTATACACGGAAAAAATGCAGTAAAAGTTTCAATGAATCACGTATATTTGCTGTATCCATAATGAATCATACGTCAGCGGAGATTTTGAAACACCGCAATCAAGAAATGCCCTATCTGCACTCAGCGCTTCAATTTCTAGCGCTATTTTGAGGATTTTTTGCTGAAATCATGTAATGAACTGCAAACCAATAGAGTTCCACCAAAAAACCGAAAAAGTCAAGAGCTTCCACGCGGAATCGTCGAGGTTCAAGATATTTGACCCAGTTTCCGGTACCGGATCCGCCCTCAAAGGCGCAGGCGTGACCGACAGTTTTCATGACTCATTTAATTGGGGTCAGAGACGCGTGAATAATGACTCTGGAAGGCCGCGGTTGGGCCAATCGCAAGGAAGATTCGCATGCGATGAGGCCTCGAACTTGGGCTCCTAGGGAAGCGGTGGAATCCTCTTATGCCCAGCTTCCTCGATATCCGGTTGAATCGTGTCAGGCGAGCGCCGCCTTTCAATTGCTTAATTAGAGCGCAGGATCTCTGATCCCTGACTAATGCGTCACCGATCGTTGCATCACAAGGGACATCTCAAGTTCACATGTGCTTTTGAAATGTTTCGGGAATTCAGCGATGACGCCGTGCGAATAAATACGTAACAGCGGCCGATCATAAAAAACGTAATGCTCTATGGAGAAGGTACACAGAAAAAATGGTATGCTCTTTTTTTTTTTTTTTTACTACTTCAAATAGCCCACAAGGGCTAATCCCACGCTTCAAATCCCATCCCCCTCCGTCCCTACTGAACAACTAGTCCCAGGCAACCATTATTTGAGAGTATCAAACGGGACCTCCCGATCATGGAGCAAGCGCTACAACCACTACACCATAGGAGGCCGTCATTTGTTTGGCACCTAGGATGTCAAAAATGTGGCTGGTCATCCTAAGATGCTACCTTGATTGCCCACGCAGTTGAATTTGCATTCGTAGAATGTAAAGTTAACTGCGAGGGCAGTAAAGGCAGCATTTTGGGATCACCAGACACATTTTTGACATCCTAGATGTTAAAACAGCATTATATTTTTTTCAGTGTACGCACTAGTGCATACGTCACGGGTGCGTTACGGTGAGGGGAGATGAAGTGTTAAGGGTTTTTTTACGTCACGCTCGAATGGGCACTCAGAGCCGATTTACCGGAAATCTAAGGTGACAAATCAACGCGGGTTGCTAATTTCTCATCCAAAATTTATTATCATAAAATACTAATTTGAAGAAGGGGGCAGGGGCTAGAAAATATTTGGTTAATTTCTTGTGGGTTATATAGACCTGTGTTACGGGGGGTTTACAAAGGAGAAGGGGGCGGTGAAAAAAATTCGATTTTCAACAGTCCAGTATCACCAACCTCCGTTACAATACAAGACCCTCTAAATTTTGAGGCGGCTTTAATATTCGATTTTTCGCGTTACCAACGATTATGATATCAAATCTAACATGTTTGCCCCGAAGTGGGTTCAAAACGTCGGTTCAAACGTTGGCCGACAGCGGGCCGATTATTGAAATTTATAGACAAAGCTATAGACAAAGACGACAAAAGGAATTTGGAGGGATCCTATTGGTGGAAGCAGGTGGTGGCAATGGACATAGGAGACTAGGTAATGGACTAACTAACGGCAACCCACTAAAGACCCGACAGTTAGTCCATCATATTCTTCCTTAGTCTATATGAACCAACTATGTCAACCAATAAGATCGCTCCATGCTCCCAATGTCTTCTTTGTCTATCGCTTTGTCCATCAATTTCAATAATCGCCCCGCAGGCTTTAAACCACTTAACTAAGTTTTAGAGTGTTCTTCTTCATGGTTTGCAACCCCGTCCGTCATGACTGAAAAGTAAACTAAATTCCTCCGCGGAAATTTGACATCGTGAAGAATGGAAATCAGGAGTGAACAGGGTTACATTGCGACTTCAGAGAACAAGTATATTTGAATCTGCGTTGTTTCTGAGAGGTGTTTTTATAGATGGATTCCTTATGGCCAGTGATGTCCCATTAAAGTGTCTCAGTGGTATAGTAGAATTTTTTTTTAAATGTCTTATTTCAAACATTTTTCCGTAGAGGAGTGTCCACAAGTAAGTAATGCAGTTTTCGCTACTCTGCAGGGTCTCTGATATGCTTTCTTGCGATGGTCACATAATAATATTATACTGCCTAAATTTTAAGTACGATATAAACTTTAGAACTAAATCGATAATCAATAATTAAAAGCGAATGATTTGAGGTGTGGCAATGTTGCAACTTCCATGCGCTTTGTGATGACAAACGAAACTACCTGAGTCAGTGGAATCATCCGCAAAAAAAGCAAATTAATTGGTTGATTTAGCAACTCTGGCAATTAATTAATTACACGCGTAGGTAAACCTGCGATAATCCAATTACACGGTAACAAGTGCCTACTACTGCTAGACGAGTAATTGCGGCTATGTCGCTATATCAATTTAAGAGCAATTGAAGGAGGTTTTTTTCTTTTCTTCTTCTTTCGTTTCATGTCGGAGATGGGCAAATACGATCAAAGTCTCATTGAGGATAATAGCCATAAGTAATTATTTTTCATCAGTTGGAAATTATGTAAAAGCCCCTTCATTTTCCATTACAATATTAAAAGGGGCGGTTGGACCCCCCCCCCCCAAATATGCACTCATCGCACAGATGTTATCCTTTTCCCCTCCAAAAAATCACGACGAGCTGTCTTAAGTCCTCCTTATCATCGAACACTTTAAAATTTCCAAGATTTTATGTATCTTGTCATTCAACTTTATGTTGAGTGCATTCGTTCTCAGTAATTATGAAAGTTTCACCATTGACATCATTAGATGGTTGAAAAAATGATTTTACGGTAGATAGATAAGTTCATATAATAAGTATAGATTGGATGGGAAATTGATTCGGTACGGATTTTAAATATTGACTCACTCTACTTCAGAATATTCTTTAAATTAATTTTTTTTTATTAATTCTAGCTTCGTTCAGCGTTTTCCTTTGTATTTTTTACTTTGATGTATTCTTAAAGGCTTCTTCAGTTTAGCCCAACACAAAATACTGAGCTATGATTGGAAAAAGACGCTGAGACTGTAGCGCACAGAAAACTGGTTAATTTTACAGTGGAGCCTCAGAAGAAGAGTCATTTGACACTGACAAACATGAGTGCATCCGATGAAATTCGAGCATTGACGCATTGATCATAGTGGATTGCTTTACGCTTCAATCCAGAGACGTAGTATCCAAGCTCTAGCATAATATGTGGACGTATTTCTACCAAACAGACCTATGTGCAGGTGAGAAATATGAGGTGTGCTCGTCGAAGCTGCATAAGAAGCAATGTAAAAGTGGGCGTGATTCCTTTTGAAGAATTGGAAAAGCGGGATTGTACATTCTATCGAACAGACCTATATATGTGCCAACTGAATGCGGAACTCATGAGCCGCGGGCATGGCAAGAGAGCGTTGTGGACAGGGCTCATGAGTTAAAGACACGGATCCGCGGATCGGAGTCTCCATCGTCGCCGCTGACGTCACTGGCGCTTTATTATTCTCATTCACTCTTACGTAGAGAGAACCAACGAGCACACCCCATATTTCTCACCTCCACATAGATCTGTTTGGTAGAAATACGTCCATGTTACAGTGGCGTGGTTTGCTTTGCGATATATCGATTGTTCTGGCATTTAAACCTATGGAAACGGATCGATTAAGAGGGTGTTCGAAACGAATATCATAATAATCGATTCTTTAACATACCTTAAAATGGGAAAATATAAGTGGCGAGGCGTGAATGATCAATGATCGATATTTCCCATTTGAAACAATGGTAAAGAATCGTTTACTAAGGTGTTTGCTGCGAACACCCTAATAATCGATATTTTTTCATAGGTTTGAGTGGCGTATCAATCGATATATCGCAAAGCACGCCGCGCCACTGGAAAATATCAATAATCGATCAATCACGCTTCCCCGCTGATGTTACCGCCCTCTTCCGTCCTGTATTCCCGATTTTAGATCAGGGTCAGATTAGCGCCCTGGCGGCTCGGGGTGCAGACGGGTATGGGCAAAGGCCTGTATATTGTAAGTTGCATACTTTTTAAATTGAAGGCGGATCACGGTTTCAAGAAATCAATGGGTCTCAGATGCCCTCTTTTTGGTCCGAGGACATAAACACATTCTGATTTCGAATGTAACTGGGGGTATCATTGCATTCGAAAAGACGAGCTACACTGATGTTCCAGTTTATATCAAAGGTTTTCGAAAAGGACCTCATTTTGCAACTAGGTATTAAAATTTCTGGCTCATACGTAAAACCACTCATGCATATTAATTCTACATAGGGATACTAATGGTATATACGTTGTCCCTAAACTGAGTCAGAAACTGTAGGTCCCAATTGCAAAACGGACGTGTTTCTATCAAACGGAACTATGTGCATTATGACGTGAGCCGTGTTATGTATTCATTGTTATGGGTCTCAGGGCTCATGCCTCAATGCACATAGTTCCGTTTGATAGAAATATGTCCAAATGTAGTCCAATTAAAGATGACGTCACATCGCCATTGTTTTTTTTAGCGAATACTACTACCGTTACGTTGGGAGAATCCCATAGCAGGAAAAAAATCCGAAAAGGTGAATAAATCCTGAAGCTCGCATTTCCATCAACGAATTAGCGAATGTCTCAACAGAAGTGGGGCTTTCAAACACGAGCAGTATTTGGTTTTTTCCAATTTCCTGGTAAGGAAGTCTAGCATGACATGAAAACAGGAAAGACGACCATGTTAAGACTCGCGTTAGATAGTCCTGATTTCAATTAATTTTGTCCCACCGAGGAAGGGCCAATGGCTCCTTTCAAGCTCCAAACATCGGTAGGGTTGGTTGATTGCATTTTCAATCAGATCATTTCTTTGACAATTTATACGGTTTTTATGATTTTGATGATTCTATGAAATTTGACGCCTAAATTGTAGTAAGAAGAAAAGTGTTTACATTTTAAATTATTTATTTTTTTAATTAATTAAAATTAAACTAGGCGTCTCAAAATACAACATAAAAATTTGTATGATTTTGACAACTTTTAAGGTGATAGGAGCATACCTTAAAATTTGCAGAACCTGCAGTAAAATCTCCTTTCTATTGTGTATTTTCGTAGCTGTAAATCACTGTAACCCTTAATTGCAAATCCTTCTCCGAAGTCATATTGCTGAATTATACTAAAGGTTTAAAAAAAATGTTTTCTGTGTAGGGTGCTACTTTAAAGGTTCCCGTGAACCTCCCTCAGTCACAATGGAAACCATCTACATCTTCCTACGGAAAAGGGCTGTCTAAAGAACACGATGCGTACGGGTCTTTCACCCCGGAACTTTTAAAGGGATAAAAAAAACAGCATAGAAAAGTTCCAAATCCCAGAGAATTTGGTCTAGCCGGATTGGCAGCACTGTCTCAGCATGAAGGCTATTTCCATTTAAATCTTCCGTCACATTCATACGGCGCAATGATACAACTATTTGAACTCTCCGGAATGCGTGAGGTATCACGCCGCATTTGAAGGCGTTTTCAAAACAGCTTAGTTCCGATACCCGGATTATCGTTTTGCATACTTCATATTCTTTTGTTATATATGCCGTGCCTCTTGTTTATTTCTAATCCTCCTAGAATAACCACCCATTTGCTAAACATAATTCTAGCTGGAGCGCACTTCAGCTATGCATTCACCACTGCAAAAATGTCAAAGGAAATCGACAAGCCCAGCGTGCATGGAGGCTACCTCCATTTCAATCTTCCGTCACATACTTACGGCGCAATGATACAACTATTTGAACTCTCCGGAATGCGTGAGGTATCACGCCGCATTTGAAGGCGTTTTCAAAACAGCCAAGTTCCGATACCAGGATTATCGTTTTGCATAATTCATATTCTTTTGTTATATTAATTCCGTACCACTCGTTTAGTTATAATCCTCCTATAAAAGCCACCCATTTTCTAAATACAATTCTAGCTGAAGCGCACTTCAGCGCAGTCATGACTGCAAAAATGTTAACGGAAATCGAAAAGGCCAGCGTGCATGAAGGCTATTTCAATTGCAATCTTCCGTCGCATTTCTAAGGCGCAATGATACAACTATTTGAACTCTCCGGAATGTGTGAGGTATCACGCCGCATTTGAGGGCGTTTTCAAATCAGCCAAGTTCCGATACCCGGATTATCGTTTTGCATAGTTCATATTCTTTTGTTATATTCCATGCCACTTGTTTATTTCTAATCCTCGTAGAAAAACCACCAACTTGTAAATACAATTCTAGCTGAAGCGCACTTCGGCTATGCATTCACCACTGCAAATATGTCAAAGGAAATCGACAAGCCCAGCGTGCATGAAGGCAGGCCCGCCACAAGGGGGGGATGCTGGGTCCCTGGTACCGGGGCCCGGGCCCCGGAGGGGGCCCGTGTTACCTGTGAAAAACCACTACGAATTCACATGCAACCCTTGTTACGTAAGAAAAAGTGAAAAATTTACCCTAAAAATTTCGCAAAAGGTGAATAGATTTTCAGAAACACGCTGGGGCACTGTAGAATTCCTTTTAAATTTTCAAAGAAGTATACTTCTTGGAAAATTTTATCTATTTTCAAGATTTTCAGTACAGAGGGATATTTTTAGTAACTGCGGTTCATTTTCTTCCGTCGTCAGATGCTAAGAGTCTCCAGTCTGGGCATCCTCGACTTCAATGGCTCATGGCTCAACTCCCTTGCCATAGACAAACGAAGGGGGAGTCCAGGGGGGCCTGGCCCTCTTAGAACTGAAAATAGTATCATATGCCCCCCCCCCAAAAAAATAAAAAATTTCCAGACGTTTTGAATGCAACAATTCGCAAGTATTTTGTGCTGAAAGAAGAGAAAGAAAACACAATTATTCCGCAGAAATTGATGGAAAATTCTTTATGGAAACTTCAAAATGCGTCCGATCAGTCGTATAAATTCTAAAATTTCTCGGAGGATGCCCCTCGAACCCCCCCCCCTCCGTGCTTGGGGCCCGGACCTTTCCAGGGCCCGACATGGGATGTGGCGGGCCTGGCCTCAGGTAGTTGCGAGAGGTGGACGTGGACGCGACACTCTCTACCGCTCAGTGGATCGAGTCTACCAGAGAGGTCGACGTGAAATCGTTGACCAAAACTGCAAATTTTCACCTTTATTTCTTCACGTTTTGAATTTGAAAGGGTGTCTCAAGAGAAAAATTTGACGAGGAAACCATCGGAACCAATTTTGTAAAAACGGAGTTATAAGCGTTTAAAGTTTCCACATTTTGTTCGAATTCTCGAATTAACTCGGTCCACTGTGCGGCGTACCATCCTATCGCGAAACCGCGCGGGCAAGAACCCAGAATTTGGGTGCACACCTGCCGCGATCAGGTCGTGTCTCCCGCCAGATATGATGCGATCGGCATCGACGTCATTATCAGTCATGGCTTTTCCGTCCTCGGAAGGACACCGGTTGCCCGGGGGCGCGTCACCGTTTTCTCCGGGGAGTTCCCGTGGGACCCGGGTCCCCCTCCGGGAGTCCCGCCCGCGGGCTTTTATTGCGCCTCGCGCCCGGCAATTCATCAATCGGACTTTTCGCGACTCGGACGATCAACCAGTCTTCTCTCTGTCTCCGCGACGGCGTCTCCTCCGAGCGACTCCTGCCCGCCGCGAATCCCTTGTGCGCCGATCCTGTCCCTCGTGCCCGCTTTCGGTGATCCCGCGACGTCCCTGTGGTCCATGACCGAGACAATTGGCTCCCTCGTCCCGGCGGCTCACGCGAAAAACAGCCAAAATTAGGTACACACTTTGGATACCGAGCCTGCGTTTCCCGGCGATACTCAAGCCGTGGATGCATCCGAACCAACACTTCTACCATTTAAGGTACTTCCTCTTTTTCTAACCACGTTACACCTATTATAGAAATTGAGGCCTTGGGTACAGGATAATTGAGGGGTTTGGAGGACATGGCGCACGAGTGCAGTTTTTGAAAAAATTGAGATATTAAAGATTACATGTAAAACTAGTCATAATGCATATCCTGTGAAAAGTTCGCTCCCAAATTCCAATTTTAAAGCATGAAAAAGTCAGTTTGAACTTTTTGTTCGTCATAAGGATCCATGTAATTTCGAAACTTCAAACATGTATTTCACAAAATAGCAAAAACTGCACTTGTGCGCCTTGTCCAATTTTGGTCAAAAATTGGCGTGTTTACCTCATCAACCGAAAAAAAGAATAAAAAAGGAAACAGACGGACAAACAAACTAATAAACAAACAAACAAACAAACAAACAAACAAACAAACAAACAAACAAATAAACAAACAAATAAACCAACAACAAACAAACGAATAAACAAACATACATTTACACCGATATTAATATCTGACATTCTTGAATAAAATTTTACATATGAGCTAAGAAAAATGTAAAAATAATTTTAAAAAACGCTAATTGGTCTTCCTGAAAAGCGTAAAGTTTATCGATAAATATGCAAAAGCGCAGAGTAAAATACGTGTTTCTAATCTTTAATCGTATAAGTCAACGTCACGCCTTAAGGGCAAATATTTTAATCTATTTTTTTCTCATATAAAAAATGTTCCCTAAAATTGAGCTTGGAGCTTAGAGAAATTACCACAAGCACTGATCAAAGAAAGAAGCGAATTGTTTAGAAAATAAGGCATTCATTTGTTCGAGTATAACGATTCGATTACAGATTTTCTTGTCATTGTCTCAAATCCCACCTGATCTTGCAACTTTCAACTTTGATATAAAGCTTTCGTCACTATCCCTACCCATTACATTTAAAAGATACCGCTTGCAGTTCTCAGGATGGATTTATTCAGAGTCCGTTAAACTAAATATCACGATGCCTGTCTTCTTTTCATGCTTTATTTTATTTATCTTTTTTTTCAACGAGGAATTAAAAACATAATTCCTTGCAACCTTCTCTTAATTTTCCTCAAATTATGAAGTATACAAACACAATTTTCAAGTCAAAACTCTTGCTTGAGGTTCTGGTAAAGAATCAGAGCTGTTAAAAAAGGAAGAGAAAATAAACTAGAAATAAATTGAAATAGATAAAGAAATTAGGCAACCTTTGATCGAGTTAGATCGATTCTAGTTGAAACTGTCCGATTGGTGAATGTGGCAAATGCCACAGAATCAAACTGTTGCCTATCTATGCTTATTCTGTTTATCTGTTGTTTTCAACAGATGAAACGATATAGAAAGGAGAAAACAAGGTCTTTACAGCGAGACAAATTCGATTCCATGTCAAATTATCGTCATGCAGAAACTTGGTTCTACTGCATTTTTCATTTTTTGAAAATACACTTTCCTGGAATGTGAAAGAATCACTCTTGGTCCATTCCCTCAGAACTTAGAGATGATTTATCGTACACCTTTTATATTGTTATCATACAAACGACGACAGTGCCGTATGGGGTGTAAAATAAATACAGAGGGTTTTTTGTCATAGATAAACATAAATATTTAACAGTATGGACAAAAGGACAAATGACATAATTTGATAAAATAATGCGATTTCCTTTCAAGTAAAAGTAGGTATGTTAATTCAAACACAGGCATTTCAAAGAAGTTATCAAGTAGTCATCTCTTCAGTTTCTGGATGTGCTAAGGAAAATAGTGATTGTAATAAGGAAGCGATTGATTTTAGAGAGCTGATTAGTTTGTGATAATGGGTCTAATTTTGCTCAGTGTTTTTATAATCATTGACTATAAATATTTAAATGTTAGTCACCGAGATCAGAAAAGTCAAATTTCAACGTTGATAATCAGTTAAAGGACCATTAAATTGCTCGTTTCAAAGCCAGTAACACTTGACCTTCAAATTATTTCGGCTCGCATCAATTTTTTTTAAAAAATAAAAAATAAAAAAGTAAAAAGTAAAAAGAATAAAATGAAATAAAATAATATGAAAAAAATGAAAAAAAAATAAATAAAGTAAAAATAAAATCAGGCTAAATATTACTTCCGAGTTTCAGAATATTGTCAAGAGTGAGGAACCTACTCATTGTTAGATGAGGAAGTCTGGCTGACGGCTCTTTTACACGGGCGTCTAGCTGCCTTAATATTCTGTCAAAGCAAACTCAGGCCATTAAACATGCGTAGAGAACGTGCGTTAAAATCCTTTACCCTCGCGGTATTTTATTCCTGGCATGTGCTGTGGTGCGGTGCCATTACTCCGTCTGCATTACCTCAACTATGCAAATGGTATGGCTACCGACGCGACGAGATGCTTTGCACTAATACTTCAACGATATTTTCTGAGGATTGACTCATTCGTCGAACACACGCCACGGTAATTTACCCTTGTTCACTGATCCTCTGTACACGTTTTTCGTGTAATAACTGAAAGTAGGTATTCCAAATACAAGGTATTTCACATACTAGCGAATTGACCTAGCTTCTGCTGATTCACGCAAAAAGACAAATTTCCCGGATCCTCCAGAATACCAGGGAGCTCTGTCAATGTCTTCCTCTTTGAATTATTTTTTTTCTCACTCTGAGCCAACTGATTAAAAAATTTTGACCATTTTCGACTATACGGAGCTTGAAACGGAGGAAGAAATAAAATAAAACAAATTAATACACCGGAAAAAAGCGATTCTGATTTAATATTCTGGAAGTGTGCGAGAACTCACAAAACGCTGAATTGACCGCCACAGCAGTTAGTTTTACATCTTGACATTAGCTAAAGTAATTAATTCAGCGTTTTATGAGTTCTCGCGCATTTTTTTACATCCAGCATTTTAAATCAGCATCCTTTTTATTTCAGTGTAAAATCCTGAGCGTAAATCAATATCGCAAAAGAAGTGAGGAATAACTAGGATTTTGCCTCAACTGCCAGTGTGAGAGAACTTAGAGTACCTATATTAAGAGAGTATGGCCACTGGGCCCCATGGAGAGGCTTAGGACCCAAAAATGGCGTTGCTTTGTTTTGGTTTTTGTGGATGGGAGGGGGGGTCATTGCCAACTTTTGACGGTTACCACCAACCGTACTTGCTGCCAACCTTACTACATTCAAGATAATTTTATTACAACGATTAGTCTTAAAAATATGTAAAGAAGTCGCAAGAGTGCATTTGAGTAAATTTCTCGTTACGATAAGCAAAGAAAACTACATTTTGAGTCATTTTGCATTACATTAATTTATGGCGTCCGCCATTTTTGGGTCCTAAGGGCTCCATTCAGCCTAAGATGGCTGAGCCAATCAGAGGTGGTAACCCCAGTGGCCATACTTTCTCAATATTGGTACTCTAAGAGAACTCAATGAGCGACCTTCTTCAAATCGTTGCTCCTTATTGTTTTCCGTTGCTGCATCTTATCGCTCGATTGAGCGAACGTTACCGTGACATTCAACTCTCACCTCCACATCTTATTGTTAGTTTTTATCGTCATCGTCAAAATTGGAGTGGTAACGCTCTTAACTGTCACAAGATTCAAACACCCGGAATGTCAAAGTGAGTCTGATGCCGCAATCACACGCTGAATGTGAGAGCTGAATGTGGAAGTCATCAGCCCGATGATGCCTGAATTTAGAGTACCTATATTGAGAGAGTATGGCCACTGGGGTTACCACCTCTGATTGGCTCAGCCATCTTAGGCTAAATGGAGCCCTTAGGACCCAAAAATGGCGGACGCCATAAATTAATGTAATGCAAAATGACTCAAAATGTAGTTTTCTTTGCTTATCGTAACGAGAACTTTACCCAAATGCACTATTGCGACTTTTTCACATATTTTTAAGGCTAATCGTGTGCAATTTTTGAGAAAAATGATCTTAGATGTAGTAAGGTTGGCAGCAAGTGCGGTTGGTGATAACCGTCAAAAGGTGGCAATGACCCCCCTCCCATCCACAAAAACCAAAACAAAGCACCGCCATTTTTGGGTCCTAAGCCTCTCCATGGGGCCCAGTGGCCATACTCTCTCAATATAGGTACTCTACCTGAATTTTGCGCGTGTCGTGCAAAATTCAGCAACGATTCTCAGCGACCATCGGATAATGTCGGATTCATCTGCACTATTCAAATAGATCTGATACATATCTGGATGAAAATCACTCGAATTTGCGAAATTTCAGCTGTTGAGCGATGAATGTTGACTTCCATATTCAGCTGCCAAATTCAGCGTGTGATTCTGGCATGAGGAATGCGTTACAAGACAATGAGTACATTGCAATTTCCAACAAGTTGCGTGAGCATTAATTTTAGATTCTGCTCAAGCGCTGAAATTAATTTTTTACCAAACGCTTCAGAAATCAGATGAAATTATGCGAAATAAGTCAATCTACATTGAAAAATTTGTTCAAAGGATAGTTTGGATCTTGGGATGAGAGTTAGGAGGCTAGTAGAGTAGGGCTCATTTACTGCCCTAAACGGAGAAAATTACTTCGGTTACACAAACCGAATAGTTCGGTAGGCGCTTTGGATCGAAGTATTGAACCTTTAGTCAAGTAAATTCCCCGCTTCAGTCGACAGAATATATGGATGCAACTATTCGTGTTCTGCGGAAATCTGTGTTGCATACGCATACATTTGAAGGAGCTCTATCTTTTCTTTACAACAATGCCTGGTTATACAAATATTCTTGTTCTGCGGGTGTTCGTGTTTTATACACACAAAATTGAAGGTTCTTCGCATTTTCTCCGCCCTTCAGTGCAGAAATGCGCATCGTGAAACACATTGCAAATGGATTTTTTTTTATCAAACGGAACTATGTGCATTATGAAGTGAGCTCTGTTACGCATATATTCTTATGGGTCTCAGGGCTCATATCTTGATGCACATAGTTCCGTTTGACAGAAATACGTCCAAATCAACGGTGAAACTGTCAAACCATGCACCTCGTTTGTGACGTTTT